AAATCGATACCAAGAAGTGAAAGATCAATATTATATTGGGCAGCCGAATATCACGATATATCGCCAAAACAATTATTTCCCACACCCCTAATATTTACGTAGCGCCATCCTACATGCTCGTCCCCACTTTCACTTACCAGTGGTTAGTCTGACATGGTAGAAAAATTGCAAATCTTCTTTTAGAAAGTAAGCTTGTATGAGTGATGGAAACTTTTAAACAGAGGGTGCACAAAGAGAAATGGGCTTGTGCATGTGCATTTCTTCTTTTGTTTTATAAAGTGGAGAGGGTGGGTCTTTTCAAAAATCTGCGAAAATCCTCCACTATACCTTTAGGCAGCTCTTTACGAATAATTTCAGAAAATTACTAAAGCTGGTATGTTATAGAGTGATGTCATTAAGTGAAGAAAATTCAACATCCTACCTCTGTTTTTCCAGAAGTAAACATTAGCTGATTGATCATCAGTTGATCAGTCGGAGAACCTCTAACTGCTGATTTATATGTTAAACACTAAACTATCAGAAATACGCTGCTGCATCCCTCCATAATAAATGTAAGGAATTAAAAAAGTTTTGTTGCATTTCTTTTTCTAATGAAATGCCATTGTGGCTTAAAGGTCGGAGTCTTTATGCTTTGAAGCATAATTGGGATCATTTTGTATTTCCTTTATGTTCTTCCTCTATCAGAGAACCTAAAATGTATTAAAGGAGAAAAAAAATTTCTGCGGTATGGGTGACAAACAAACAATAAATCTGTTCAAATGAATGATTTTACTGTAAATTTGCACTGGTTTAAAGCCTTTTTTAAAACAACCAGAGATTACATGAGAAAAAAAAATGTTTGAATAAATCTTTTGCATTCTGATTTTAAGTAAAAATTAATTAGCAATAAAAAGACCACATGGAATATGTTGTTTTATTGATTGTACTGACCTTTTATCAAAAAACGCCTCGATGATTTGGGTTTTGATGGGGTTGTTGGCGAGGGCTGGTATCCTCTCTAGGTTTTCCCTGCTGCATAGCAACAAGACAAAATGTTTTATTAAAAATCAGAACACCATAAAACAATGTCTGAATCTTCAAAAATATCCTTTTATATTGCTTTTTTTCTACTGTAACATTTAAGACAGTGTATGTGCCTAAGGCTGATTAAGATGCAGCAGATCCATGTCTTGAGAAGCAGGCACATAATCCTAAAGTCGTTTGAACAAACTCAGCATGTTTGGTTTGTGCATTCAGGATGTCAGACAGGCACACTTTAACACTTATTTATATCAGCAACTTCCTTATCTAATAAGCATCACAAATAATCTACTGTACAGCACCCTCTCATTTATTAAAGATAGGCGCCTTATATCTGCTCAACTTTTACTGCAATCTGATAATAACAATGGATTTTTATAAACTGGTGCAAAATGTTACACCAGCCTGGATAATTAACAAACAACAAATATAAGGACAATTTAAGGTTGATAAGTTTATTTTTTTTAAATGCTTCATTATTTTCCATTTTTATCAGCTACAATGTAACATGGATAAAAAAAAGAGTTTCTACCTTCATACACTCGTTCTTATCTACAGTCTGACTTCTTGTGAAAAAGCTTAAAAAACTGGAACTTCAACAAACAAGTTTTTTCTTGCCACTACTCACAGTGACAAATGAGGGAAGAGAAATCTGCAGGGCTCACTTTTTGGTAATTGCAGCCCAGAGTGGCATCTTTGACTCTAAAATCCTTCAAAACAACCATTAGATGATATCAACATGTGTTGTGGCGCCCAGGTAGGCTTCCCCAACAAAATGAGTTTCTCCTGGGGTGGGGGGGGCCTATGCAGGAAGGACTGTCCAAATTAACATGTGCATTTCACCAACTAGACAAGAAAGTGGGTTTATTTATGTAAAGGTGTTATTACCTTTTTTTATTCAAAACAAAACACTTTTATTTTCCCACTTTGTTTAACACACAAAGGATGTTTGCTTTAATAAAAACGTAATCATGTTTGTGCACTGTTGGACAGCATCTACCAACCCTTGAATGAAACTGTTGAAAACGGATGAGAAAAGGACTTTTCTGTCCTAATGTTACAAACCTGAGCATATGGAGTTTGTTAAAGGCTACTGGGACTCAAAATGAAATGTGATTTGATCAGATAAATTAACATTGAAATATTTGGTAAGAAACAAATTATCCTATTGGTGAAAAGCCACCAAAGGTCATCCGTCAAATATCTGTGATTCTGTATGGACTTTTCTCTTCTGTGGAACCTTTTAACGGTGCATTTAGGGCTGCAACTATTGATTATTCAGCAAATCAATTGATCTCTCAATACATTTTTTTGATAAATTGATTAACATTTAGATAGTCAAATGTCTCTTAAAGAAGATTTTTTTGCAGAATTAAACCAGGTGACACTAAATATTTGGATTATAGAGCGTATTGACAGACACAATAGTTTTTTTTTTGTTTGTTTGTTTTATCTGAAATGCAAAATATTTACATATTTGTTTACAATCTTGGTATAATTACTGCTCTAAAGTTTCTAAAGTCTAAGTTTCTAAATTTTTCTAAATTAGTTGACAATTGTTTCAATAATCAATTAATCATGATTAATGCGATTAACCGTTTCAGCCCTAGATGCATTACGATCTTATAGCTATGATTTATATTAAAAACCTGGATATGTTAAAAAAAAGCCCCTTGATTTTGTACCAAAACATAATTATACTCAAATATACACAATAACTGTCCCCCCCAAAAAACAGCAAACATAATTTCTGCCTCCTTTAAACAGCTAAATATGGAGATATGGATGTTTTACAACTTTGAACATTAAAAAATTACGCATTAAAGCACATTACCTTATTGTGTCTGCATTTCCACTCAGCTGCTCAAATCGCTTGTGTAGGTTTTTGATCTGCTCCAGTGAAACTGAAGGAAAAAACAAATGTCTAAATTAAAGCCTATATTCTCCCAGAGTTATTCAGCAAAATTCGAGCAGTGCAGGAGCTAAACATGGATTCAAACCACCATAAACAAATGAGTGTTTTGCACTGAAAGGGTTTTATTCCAATGTACATTTTTATTGCTTAAAACACTTTATTTAATTGATCGGCTCCTGCTATCAGCTTAATGGCAAAGCAAACAAACCGTTCCTTGTAATTGCATCTAAAATGATTCACTCAATCATTAACCCATTGGACACTTTCAACACTCGACTTCTTTAACCTTTTTATTCTCTCTTTTTTTTTTTTTTTTAACAGTGTCCTTTCTGACAATGTTGCAATAAGATGCCAAAAAAGATCCCAACAGATTTTACTTTCACAAGTGGAGCAGTACGGCTATTGCCATAGTGTTCCGCTTAATTTGTCCGTTTTACAGATTATATGGACACTGCAATGTAAATACAACAGGAAAGGAAAAACAGAAAAAAGGAGAAAAGATTAAAGAAAGAGGAGATATAAGGGAGATAATGATAAAACATCTTCAGTCTGCTTCATCACCTGCAAAGAGATGTAAAAAGAACAGCGCAACCAACAGACATGGTACAAGATATACAATAAAGTAACACTTTGGTACTGTCGCTAAAGTATAAGTGCTATTATTTAATCTGACATGCATACTGTGGTAGCTTAAGATAAAATATGGGCTTTCTGTACAGAAGTGAATCTCTAAGTACCTGGAACCAAACACCTTTGTATTCTCTACCAAAGTAGGCTGGCTGTGTCTGCTTAGGGAGTGGGGGGGGAGCTGCATGCATGGATGGCCTCACATAGAAACCAAAGCAGGTTGTTGTTAAGGGTGGGTGGGGTTGCAGCTCAACAGTTGCAACAATAACATATACAGCTAACTGAGTTAGAAGGATTACAATTGTGCAATAAAACACGAACAAAACAACAGCAAATGGAATCCAACAGTACATTTTAAATGACTTGAAATATCATATTTGGGTTTTTGTTTTTTTTTTAAACAAAGAGGTTCCTTTAGGTTCCTAAAGTTAAAAGGAAAGAAAAGCATAGCTCTAAACCTTATGGAGACAAAGACACTAAAAGAGTCCAAAGTCTCCCTGAGATAGGATCAATAAAGTCAAGCTAAGACACAGATGAAGACCTACTTCTACCTGCTCAAAGTACATGCCTGCACATGTAAAGGTGTCCCACCAGGGTCATTCACTAAATTCCTCTTTACTTCCTTATATATATATATATGGAAGTAAAGAGGAATTTAGTGAATGACCCTGGTGGTATATATATATATATATATATATAGGTGCAGTTTGTTTACATACCTAAAGCTTGTTGTCATGAAAAAGCGTCATTTAATCATGACTAGTAGTTGTTCTTTACAAGTTTGACTTTCACTTTAGCACCTGATCTAGGTTTGCGTTTCTATATGATTTATCAGAAACAACATGAATTTTAAAGCAGACTTTTTCTTAATCTTAACGGTTTTTGTTTGTCCCAGTCCCCAACGTCCGTCTCTCTGTGATATTTAACTATAAACACTAAAACTCCTCTATCAGTACTTTGATAAATCAATAATCTGTTTCTTTTTTTTTAACACTTACATCCAGTAGCTTCCACCAGATCCTGGTATTGGGGCTCCGGGCGTGTTTGCGTGGCTCCCATCTCTGCGGCTGTCTGACCGTTGCGTCAAGGCGCACAATCTGGTTGAACTGGCCAAAACTTTTCCCCTCTACTGTTACCGCTTCAACCGCCTTCTATTGGAAGCGCACTGCTGATGTGTTCTGCTGCCCCCGTGTGGACAGTTGTGGAACTACTTTTCACACAGGCCCAGTGTAGATTAGAATAGAATATCCCTGTATTGTCCCATAATGGGGAGATTCTGGTTTACAATAACAGAAAGATTATATTATATTGAAATATGGACATTAGCAAAGTGTATGAGAATAAAATAATAGTGAAGATTTAAAGATGAAATAAAATACTGTACTGTAAAGTTTTTTAATATGATTTATTTCTTTAAAAACAGCAGCCACAAACCAGTGGGTTTTAAACCAGAATGTTCTCACTGCCTTTTTTTTTGGTTTATTTTTTTATTTATTTATTTTATTATTATTTATTTTTATTTTTTTACACGGCTTGATAAACATATTTCATATCTAAACACATTAATTTCCACAGCACAGGATATGATTCCTTCCTGGACAGTTTAAATTCTTACAAGCTATAAGATTACCATAATTTGTCCCAAATTATAGAAGACTGCAATTATTTTGTCTTATAATAGAATCTGGCAAATAGAAATAATTTTGCTCATCATTAAATGACCCAAATAACAAACAAAAAAAGACTAGTGTTTAATATGAGGCAGTGGCCTGCTGTTTACCTTTCTCTGCAAGAATTACCACAATTAAGTAAGAAATGCAGCGTTTGTTTTAAAGAGAAAACGACAACAAGAAGAAAACTTGAGACACTTTATTTTTTTTAAGGTTTCAACCAAGTTTAGACTCTTTTTCCAGTTCAAGTTGCTGCTGTCTCATCATTCCATGACAGACATCCTGAGTCTTGGCATCGCACATATTTCATTTGTAAATATACAGAATAAAAGGTAAATGTAGGAATGTGAAAGTCCATCTTTCATTAGTTTGTGGTGTTAAACATGGAGAGTTAAAACTGGATCTTGATACTGTCTTTGTTCTCTCAGGTGGCACTGGGTGGATAATCTGCAGACTGGTGCTGGATGCAGGGAAATGTGGGATCAGAAGCATTCCATGATTTCAGGCAGGAGAGATTTACAGCACCTGGAAACAAATCCTGAATTCACCTGTTCACCTCACTGCTCACTTGTTTCTTCTACTCTGTAGTATTTTGGGTTGTATTTTTACATTTTTTTTTTTTGCATTTAAACTTAGCTTTTTGACTGGATAAAAAAAGAGTATGGATTACATCATTTAGAAACGGCATTTGGTTCTTGACTTTTTTTTTTCTGGGTAAGTGGTGGAATTTGGATGCATCTCAAAGCAAAAACAGCAATCATCTCTCATTTAAAAAGAAATAAAACTAAATAAAAGTAAACAAGTCCGGAACACTTGCCCTAGTCTTATAGTGCAACAAAGGAACAGCTAAAGTGATTGTAAATTGAGGAAGGGTGATCTTTTTTGTTTTCTTTACACCTGGCCTGCAGGGCCACTTGCTACATTGACCTGGACTGGCGGCTCATTTGGTCGATGGCTGAAGTCTCATGTCTGCCTCCAGAAGCAGGAGTCGCTCTGTGATAGAGCTGCTGCACCGTGCTCAAAGTTTCTTCCATGTCCTCTGGGTATCGTGTCTGCAGCTCTTCGTTGGCAACATAGTGGGTTTCAGAAAACTCTGAGAAGTAACGGCCCACCTCTGGGTGCCCAATCTCCAGGGGGGCTGAATGGGGCTCCAGGTTCTCTGAGGAATAATAACAAACAGAGGTGACCACATTGCTACTTTGGTGAGAACTTGAAGTCTTTTGGGCAAAACTGCAAAGAGTAACAAGCAAAGGAGCCTGCGTAGTCTGAGGTGTTAAAGATAGAAAAAATAAGTAAAAACTATGAAAGCTACGAAGTGGCAGGGCGGGTGAAGAATTTGCAAATGGGGTCAGATGTTAAACTGTGGAATGCAGGAAAATCTGTACAGAAACTAGCCTCAATAAACTTATCAGGATGTTTTCAGTTAAGAGCTTAACAGAAGTTTACTGTACGTATAGATGGGGATAGTATGATGGGCCTCCTCTTGTAAACAAGAGCCTTTATTGATTAACTTTATGAACCCCCCCATTGATTATCATAAATCTGTTCGCAAAAAGGTTTTTCGATATCAGAACCATGTGACGGAGGTACCATGTTAAATATGCAAATAACCTCCTCGTTCATTTTTTGGGGGGCTAAAGCGTATTTGTTCAATTTAAACTATTTCTAAAATTGATTATAGATTTGAGGAACATCCTACTTATAATCTATTACCTTTAACATATAAAAACAGACAACCCAGCAGACAAATTTGTTTTACAAAGTTACCAACAGATGAGGGTCCAATCTCATTTTGCAACCGCTCCATGAGCAGGATGCCTGAGGTCAAACAAAAGCTCACAAACAGGGACGTCACTTTCTACAAAAGCTAGTAGATGCCATTTACACGCCCATCTTGGCTCAACTTTCTTCAAAGGTCTCCAAAGGGCAACTGGTTTTTCAGCAAGTAGAATCCAATAAGCGGCAGTAGGAAAAACTGAATGTATAGAAACTAATTCTCTTAAATAAACCGAAAGGGAAGAGCTTTTTGTTTGGGAGTGATGCCAGGAGTATTTTAGTTACTAGTCAGAAAGTCAGAAATAAATAAAGCCCCTTTGCTGTCATTTATAGTTCAGAGGTGCATGTCTGGTCTGGGTGTGGCTCCTCTTTGTTTTTCTGGAGGCGCTCCACTCCCTGCAGCTTCTGCAGGTTTTTTTTAAGCACAACTGGCTTCACTCTGCTGATGAGGAGCAAGGAGACCAATTTGGAATAAGGGCTATTATGGGTGTGCTAAGGTTTTACAGAACAGACTCTTTTTCTTTTTAGTGGCAAAGAGGAAAATCAAGTGAACCCTATATATGGTCTGCCAGATTAAAGTCTGATCTTTAACTTATTTTGAGATTCTGTTGTTTTTTTATTGTTGGTTTTATTAATAAAATAAATATACTTATTTTAATATTACCAATATTGTGATTATCTTTTACAAAGAATGAATATAAACCAAAAATTCATCATGCCTACTTTAATGTATGGTGGAGGTTTTGAAAAACCAGGGCATTTAATGTAAAAATCTGAAGGTTATTTTAAGCAGGATTATTATCCAAATTACAACTAAATGAAGACAGAACCTTTATGACTTCCATGGTTCCCAGACCCACATCCTACAGAAAACCTGCGGGGTGAACTAAGTAGAGGAGAGCAAATTATTGCTCCTATTTGCACAGTTTGAAGTTATTAAATACAGCATGCTGCTTGTTTGTAAATAGGAGAACTAATGCGCTCTTTTAATTTTCTTTTTTGGACTTCAGGCACAATTTTACGCTTTTATTTTGCTCAATATTGCTTAATATGAATGTTTTCCCTCTTCAGTTAAACTTTTCTCTCCACTTCCACTGCTGAAACCTCATTTCATCCTATGGCCAATCAGCGACCAGCAGTCTGTTTATATTTCATCACTCAGTTCCCCTTTGACTTTCTCCTCAGCGAGCACAAAAAATAAGATATAAAAAAAGACAGCATGCCTTGAAAAAAAAAAAAAAAAGAAAATGATGGAGACTCTTGCAAAACCTGCTGAAAAAAGTGGGGCAACCAAAGTTGTGCACATAGAAAGAAGGCATAAAGGACCCAGGAAAATCTAGAGGGATTGGGCAACAATGAGTCTTTGCTGGTTCTGTAGCTTTATTTGAGGAAATAATAAAAGAAAAGACAAAGCAATGCAGTATGGATAAAATGGGCCTATATAAAGTATTTCAATTACCTCAAGTTAAAAGTTAAATAATTTCAAAATGAGACACTTTGCAATTAAGGCTCAGAATCAGTCAATTTTTTAAATTTTCATGCGTATAATGGACTCTAAAAAATGTAAGCACCTGTTTCAATACTTCTCTAATTATAATACAAACAATATCTTTGTTTTTTTTAAGTGTAAACTCCTTTATAGCAATCACAAGTTTAATGTGTATCGATATCATTTAATCCAGTGAGATCCATAGTTTCTGTTTTCATTTTGCAGGTTTTCTGCTCTTAGATGCTGATGTTTCTGATTAGCCGTGTTTGTGTGTGTTTTAAACAGACAATCAGAGCCCTACTGGTGGATATGAGGCATACCCTGAGCCGCGTAGCGACACGTCCCGTCCTGTACCAGCACATTGTAGAAAGGTTGATTAGCCCCACTGGACAGCTGGTGGACCCTCATGGTGGTGATCCACTCCTGGCTCATGGTGCATTTAGGATCCCAGCCGTAAATCACACAGTTATAACCCGACCTTGAAGACATCCAGCAAACATTACCGTGCGTCAGAAACATCACGGTGATTCGTTCTTTGTCTGCATCACATTTTACAGAAGCTCACCGCTTGTGTTTCATGATGAGGCCGACTGAATAGTGGACCTCCAGGTGTTCTGCAGCGCTGCGCCTCTTCACCTCAGGAGTTACAGGATGCTTCTTGTGCTGGATGTGCTCCAGCGTGTGCTGCACCAGGTAACCCACCGCTCCATGCTGGGAGGGATCCAAAGCCTGAATGTGCTGCAGGATGTCTAAGACCTGAGAAAAATGTGAGCAAAGTAGCATAATGTTATAAAAAAAGCAAAACATTGGGGGGTTTATACAAAAAGCACTTCACTGTATTCTGCTTTTAAAACCAAAACATCACAGGAAAATGTTTATTGATAGCGTTCTAAAGGCAGATTTGATTTAGAAAAAGGATCAACCAGCTGAAGCCTAACCTTTTCGGGCCAGATTCCCAGGTGGAAGTAAAGACGTGCCTGCAGCAGCAAATACTGAACGTTATCTGGGCTGATGGTGAGGTAGAGATCCAGCGAGTCCCTCAGCAGCTGGTACGATTTCTCATTACCTTCCCTGGTGGAAAACAAATAATTCAGTTGAACAGAAGATTTAATTATCCCATTTAATTCTGGCATAAAGTGGGTGGGCTCAAAGATTTGATTCACTTTGGTTGAAATATATTTTTTTTTTTGGTAAAAAAAATTAAATTAGAAAAAAAGTGAAAAATGAAGGAGGTTTTAACTCATAAATGACTCGTCTGTCAGGAGCCTGAATGGGTCCACATGCTCGGTTTCTCTTACCCTCTTTTGCCGATGTTGAGTAGGTTCCCCACCATCCTGAGCAGCACCTCTGTGGTGCTAATGGCACTGTAGTAGTCCGCTGTCACCTGGTGGCCAATGAGGTACTCGCATTCCTTCGCCGTCAGCTGCTTGCCTTTCCCAAAGGCGTCGATGTAGACAAAGTCATAGATGTCGTCGCTCCTGCAGGGAAGATGTGTTTTTAAAACGTCTGTGAGTGCATGTAGATGTTTATACAGGTTTTTCAGAAAATAAAATAATATCAGAGCTCTTTTTTCCAACTGTGTTCCATACATCTTGTATAGTTCAACATAACACATACAGTTCTGTTAGATGCATAAGTGTTAAAATAAACCTGTCTGGATAAATGTGCATATTTAAGAATAGCCAGGAATATGCTTATTGGCAACATCTTTTTTGGGAATTCCAGGGTATCTTATACATACATACAAACAAACAGTAGTTCACAATAAACATAGGAAATAGAGGACAGGTATTTGACTCCAACTGGAAGTTTTTTTCTAAAACCGATGAGAAGATGACAAAAAGATTTAAAGCTCTAAAAGAGCTGCAGGTCTGTCTAGTTTCTGCCAGACAGTCCTGCAGAGATACAGCAATCAACTAAATTATACTTATGTTTTGATAGATAGAGAATTAGAATCTCAAAAAATAAAATCTAATTAAATCAAACAATAAATAGAAAAAAGAAAATTGGTCAAAATTCTTAAAAGGCAAGTTTGGTACAAAAACAGCCTGGAGCCAAAATGACAGAATAACAAATGTGAAAATTAGAAGGCTTCATTAGAAGAACTAAACTAGCAAAGACAGAATGAAGCTCTTCATTTAGAAACACTGACTAACAGTCTGCAATGTTTTATCCATGACCTGTTTATATCGTCATATCTGGCTGCTGTAAGAACTTCGCTTTAAAAAAAAAAAGGATGCTTTTGCAACACATCAGCAGTCATCTGATTGCTTCTAAACTGTTTCCGCTCACTCTGTTAGTCCCGCTTTTGAAATCAGGCTTTACCTGCTCCTTTCCAGACAAATATGTCGATCATATGGTGTCAGTTAGTCTGGCTGGTCTTCACTACCTGGGATAATATTGAATGCTGATACTAAATTCAATATCTAAGACAATTATTTTATTGGCAGTTGGATTTTACAGGATAGATGTTACATTAAATGTTATATTAAAGGTGAGCTATGAATGGATTAAAAATTATTATTATTTTTTTTTTTACATCACTAAAGCCTGCACTTAAACAGGCATGTTTGGCTTTTGATTAGTTTTCATATACTTTTCTGTTTGGAAGGTAAGACATGAAAATGAGTTTATTGGAGCTTTGATTCACCCATAAAAATTGTTATGAGAGGTTATATAATGCATATTTAAGTCACCTTTGGATATAAAGTAAGGTTTTTATTTCAACAATTGCCAGCAAAATGGCAAAATTATTGTAATTAGAACCGAGAAAAAAAAAAAAGACCTTGAAAGGCTCTTAGTGTGTAAGTGTAGTAATAACTTCAAAAATCAAAGAGAAAGACAAGGGTTAACTTTTGATATTGTGGTTATCTGATGTCTTTGATCTATCAACAATCTATCGTGTCTTTGAATCTCAATAGCTAAGTCTTAAATGAATTCACTTATGTGTGTGTCGATGAGGATGATCTGAAATGTTCTAATTATAACGCGTACCCTCTTGGTCTCTGGCACCAGCGCAACAGGAAGTGGTTGGGGAAGTTGACCGGCTCCAGTCGAACGCCCAGCTTCCGGGCCAGTGTCATGTAAAGGACAGAGAGGCTTATGGGAATACCCGTCCTCCGAAGTAGCACCTGCGTACAAGGCGGTACGGTTACAATATTCCTGAGTTACTCATTAGAATAAGTTATTGATCAGCTGGGACATACCTGATGGATGTAAGAGTTTAGTGGGTTGTAGTAGTCCCCCTCATTGCCTTTATACTGAAGCTGCTCGTACAAAACGGCGTTCAGGGCCGACATCACTTGCCTCTGGAGCTCAAAGTCCTCAATCACACAGTCGCCTGCAACACAGGCAATGTTTGTCTTTTTATTCTCATAAAGTAGAAGCTCTGCCTCTAAATCTTTACTGGTATATATAGTTCAAAGAAAACATCACTAGAGGAATATGGAGAATAAAAAGTGCCAAAATTAAATAAATAAATACAGCATTAAATAAATAATTAAATGTGTCAATAATTAATTAAATGTGGAATTAAATAAATAAATGTGTCATTCATTAATTAAAACCACGTCACTAATATAAAGTGCCACAATTAAATAAATAAATACAGCGATAAACAATTAATTAAATGTGTAATTCATTAAATAAATAAGGAATTTAATATATAAATGTGTCATTAATTTAATAAAATATGTCTTCATTTTATAAAAATATATATATATAATTATTTCAGTGTGCATTTAATTATTTCATGGTCCTGTGTCGCAGTGCATCGAAACCATTAAAAGAATCTGTCAAACTCACCCATCAAAGTTAGGGGCGGTTATCTAACACCTGATTGGTCACCCTGCACATTAAGGCGAAGCAAATCGATTACAGAGACTGTGATCTACAGGTTGTGAACATACTCTGATACAGTAGGTGGCGACTCGATTCACGTTAACCCCGCCCCCTAACTTTATTTAATGAATTACACATTTGATTAATTGTTTATCGCTGTATTTATTTATTTAATTGTGGCACTTTATATTAGTGACGTGGTTTTAATTAATGAATGACACATTTATTTATTTAATTCCACATTTAATTAATTATTGACATATTTAATTATTTATTTAATGCTGTATTTATTTATTTAATTTTGGCACTTTTTATCCTCCATAGAGGAAGAACAAGCAGACAAAAATAAAATAGAATAAAAAAACTCCCCAAAAAGAGAGAAAAAAAAAAAATCAAGTTTGTACATTTTATTTCCAGGAACACTTACCGTTAGTGACACGAAGGCTGGGATGAGACGAGTTCTTGATTCTCAGCATTTTCTTGACTTTTTCCACCAAACCATCTACTTGCTCTGAAATGGATTCCAGTGTGACTTCAGCCAGAGGGTTACAATACTGATCCACCAGCACAGCACCTAACAAAGCAAATGCAAGCAAGGTGAGGAAAATAAGACGTTTAAAAAAAAAAAAAAAAACTTTAGCAGCTTATGTTTCTTTTTTTTTGTTGGTTTTCAAAAGTTGATTAAAACTCAAGACAATTTCCAGGCTTTAAAATCTGAAATAAAGACATTATTTTAATGAAACAATTTGAATATTTTTTTTTTTTTTTAGCTCATTTAACTACACAGAATTTATGCATCTACCATTTCTTTATCTTTCCAGTTCAAAATGGGCCCTCAGCATCACAGCTCCTCCACTCTACTAAAACGCAGGCGTGAGGTGCCACATGTTGTTCCTTTCTCTTAGACTAATTTAACCTGGAATATTTGTAGCTGAAATGATCATTCTTGGTCTCAGCTGTCCATAAGAAATGCCTTATGTAGAAATTACTCTTGTCAAACTCTCACTCATTACGTGATTTGCCAGTTCAATCATTTGATTAAAAAAATTTAAAACTTATAAATAGGATTCCTTTGTGCAGAAGTAAGATATGCTTTCTGGCATTTTGTTCCCTTTAAATAAATAAACAAATGACGTCCAAAAACAGGGAAATAAAATAACTTGCTGATCTTGTGATATCAATAGGGTAAAGGTCAACACTGATGGTTACCTTCTAAAGCTGACTGCTGCTCTGCAGGCTTTTCCAGGAAGGTCTTCAGACTCCTCAGAATGTTCTGCTGCCTCAGGAAGTAAAGGATTTTCTTTGCATAGTACTTCAAGGTCAAGCTTTTCCTAAACACAGATGAATGGACAAAGACTCTCATCATAAATAGGTGATGCAACAATGTATCTAATATAAAAAAAAAGCGACTATTAACATTAAGCCACACTGATGCTTAAAAACTGACACTTGTGATGTGAACTGATTTCAACTTTATACACAGTGTTGTTCTGACCTCTTGTCTGAGTTGAGTATAAAGAGGAGCTCGTCTTCACAGAAGTGCTCCGGCATTCCGAGAGCCTCAATCTCAGCAAAGCTGTCTCCCAGCACCTGGCCAACGCAGGGCTGAGTCACAGGATGTGTGGGTTAGTTCACAACAAGGCCGGGTCATATTGCACAAACACGCAGTTACAGGTTCTTCTCAAAATATTAGCATATTGTGATAAAGTTCATTATTTTCCATAATGTAATGATAAAACTTGAACATTCATGTATTTTAGATTAATTGCACACTAACTGAAATATTTCAGGTCTTTTATTGTCTTAATACGGATGATTTTGCCATACAGCTCATTAAAAACCCAAAATTCCTATCTCTCAGAATTAGCGTATCTTGAAAAAGGTCTCTAAACGAGCTATGCACCTAATCATCTGTATCGACAAATTACCTCTAAACACCTGCAAAAGATTCCCGAAGCCTTTAAAACTCCCAGCCTGGTTCATCACTCAAAACCACAATCACGGGTAAGACTGCCGACCTGACTGCTGTGCAGAAGGCCATCATTGACACCCTCAAGCAAGAGGGTATGACACAGAAAGATATTTCTGAACGAATAGTCAGATCCCAGAGTGCTGTATCAAGGCACCTCAGTGGGAGGTCTGTGGGAAGAAAAAAGTGTGGCAGAAAACGCTGCACAACAAGAAGAGGTGACCGAACCCTGAGAAAGATTGTGGAGAAGGGCCGATTCCAGACCTTGAGGAACCTGCATAAGCAGTGGACTGAGTCAGGAGCAGAAACATCCAAAGCCACCGTGCACAGGCGTGTGCAGGAAATGGGCTGCAGGTGCCGCATTCCCCAGGTCAAGCCACTTTTGAACCAGAAACAGCAGCAGAGGCACCTGACCTGGGCTACAGAGAAGCAGCACTGACTGTTGCTCAGTGGTCCAGTGTACTTTTTTCAGATGAAAGCAAATTCTGTATGTCATTTGGAAATCAAGGTGCCAGAGTCTGGAGGAAGACTGGGGAGAAGGAAATGCCAAAATGCCAGAAGTCCAGGGTCAAGTACCCACAGTCAGTGATGGTCTGAGGTGCATGTCAGCTGCTGGTGTTGGTCCACTGGGATTTATCAATGCAGCTAGCTATCAGGAGATTTTGGAGCACTTCATGCTTCCATCTGCTGAAAAGCTTTATGGAAATGAAGATTTCATTATTCAGCATGACCTGGCACCTGCTCACAGTGCCAAAACCACTGGTAAATGGTTCAGTGACCATGGTATCACTGTGTTCAATTGGCCTGCCAACTCTCCTGACCTGAACCCCATAGAGAATCTGTGGGATACTGTGAAGAGAAAGTGAGAGACGCAAGACGCAACACTCTGGATGAGCTAAAGGCCGCTATAGAAGCATCCTGGGCCTCCATAACACCTCAGCAGTGCCACAGGCTGATTGCCTCCATTGAAGCTTCAAGCACATTGAAGCAGTCATTTTTTCAAAAGGATTCCCGACCAAGTATTGAGTGCATAACTGTACATAAATATTTGAAGGTTGACTTTTTTTTGTATTAAGCACACCCAAAATCATCCATATAAAGACAACAAAACACCTGAAGAATTTCAGTTAGTGTGCAATGAATCTAAAATATATGTATGTTCAAGTTTTATAATTACATTATGGAAAACAATTAACTTTATCACAATATGCTAATATTTTGAGAAGGACCAGTATCTCACTTCTCACATTCCTTCCAATTAGGCTCAAACAGTATGGGGATCTCAAGGTGTGAAAATCTATAATACAAAGACTATTTCACTGCAGCATTGTGATTAGGAAAAAATGTAAACAACATTTTAAAGCACTGTAAATCTGCTTTTATTTAATGTATATAAGTAAGAATCCTTCATACTTATAGCAAATGTATTTCAAATAATGACATTTTTAGTAATGCAATCCATATTTAAGACAAAGAAAGTAAAATGTTGGGGATGTTTGCATGTGCTTATAGAGCAACATATTCTGCAGATTATAATAATTATTATTATTATAGAAAAAAGCCCATATAAATAATTTTCAGCATTGTATTACTTATTTGTCAATAAAACCAAACGTAAGGGCTCACTTTGTATATCTATGCTCCATTCGACTGGAAAAAAATACTGATTTCAAACAATAGAATCATTTTCAATGATTTTTTTTTTTTTGTGATGCTTAAGTTTAAATACTTACAACTTCTGTAAAGAATCGTTTTGAGATGGATTCCACTGTTCTTCGTATCTGAATACCAACTCTATGCCGTGTTATGTACTCCCTAAGCCAGTCACAGCTCTCATTTTGACGATAAAACCTCTGCAGTCTAGGCCATCTGTCAATGTAAGAAGGGAAGCAGTTAATTCAGGATGACATTAGTAACTTTTTCACTTCAAGCAGAGTAAATCAGTCACTGAAGCGATTGGACGTCCTGTTGCAGTAGACATATACAGCAGAAATAATCCTGCCAGGACCAGCTGAGAGGCTGTTTCACATTCAAGGTCATACTAATGTATTTTTGTGGGGGACTCTGCAATAACATAGGATATATTTCCCCCTTTTTATTTTTCTACAGCCTTTCTTACGAGTTTTATAGATCTCTGTGTTGTTAATGCTTTGCATCGCTTGGTGATGAAAATTTGGTGCATCAGCAGGATGACAGCTTCCTGTCAATTCGCAGTATACGAGCCCACCTTCAAGGAGAACATTGGATTTAAATTACCCTAAACGAATAAAAGCGCTGCAAATTACATTTTAAGATATATAAATAACAAAGATACAACCAAGGACATTAGTACACGTACAAGAAGCAGAAAAACATTTGCAGCACCTGATTTTGTACTGGTGTTCCCAGACCTTCCCCCTTCCATGGCAGACGTCGTGCAGCCGTTTGCAGCAGCAGGAAACGTTACAAACGTCGACATGTTTGAGGACTGGGAAGCACAGGATATACTCAAGCAGCTCAGTCGGTAAGTCTGTCATTTTTTTGCTTTGGGGCTCGTAAATAATTCCGTTCAGACTCTGCTGCTCCGCTCTGGCTACAGACGTCGCCATTTTTTCTGTTTACCCCAATTACCTCATTGGTTTAGCCTCGCCTCCTTATGGCGCAGGGGGCCTGGCTTAGGGGCGGAACATGTGGATTCATCCTGCATTATGATTGGTAGATCGACCAGAATGAAAAGGGTGCGTGAGGAAATGCTGCCTTCAATGTCCCTATGAAATTTACGTAAATATCTATTGCTCTGCTTAATTTTAAAGTAAATAGCTTATATATGAAGTAAATCATATATTATTTTTTACCATTTAATAAAAAAGAAGGAATTGTGTCTTTTTACAAAATGACAAAGTAAAAAGAGTTAAATCTTTTTCATTTGAAATATGATATATGATTTTAGTTTACTCTAACAAACTGCAGCAACAGAAAAATCTAAATTATTGACCAGTTATTTTGGTAGCACAATTACATTTGAGACCTGACAAAATTCTGTCCTCAGTATTTTAAACTAGCTTTAGTTTTAACTATTACAAAATAATTACTACTTTATAGACAACACGCAAATGCGCCACTACATTTTAAGAGGTTGCTAACAGGTTAGCTGAAGTTAGGTGATCTGTCCGTCTCAAGTTTTACAGGAAAGTGAAAAACTAAATTATTTCAAAAACTTTCATTATTTTTAAAGGAACATATATAAAGTTTAAATATACGCCATATGGTGCCTGTTTTTCAGAATGAGGCCAATATTAGTTAGCAAACTTCTGACTATTTTAACCAGCTACCGTTAGCAGCCAGCCTCAGATGCTACGTTGCTAGTGTTTAACTTTATCTGTAAACTATTTATGTGTATTTAGGTGGATATATAAATATGTAACAAAGCGGAGCTTGATAAAAAAAAAAAGATGTCTGCGAAAACCGAACGGGCTTCGATTGGAGATGCAAATATTGGTAGTATCAGCTGAAAAGTCACATGCATTCCTCCGTGTTTACCTCTGGACAATAAACAGGTTTAACTAAGTCCGACTCATAAGAAGAACTAGATTATACAAAAATGTCTTGATGCTTTTTTAGCTTAAGAGGAACGTATAAAGTATATTTGGTGTATTTATTGAGCGTTTCATCTCGAGTCGCCATGGCAAGTGCTTTAGCAGCAAAAATGGGATTTAACTCTTTGATCAGAAAACAAGCCAAATACTTCAAAGTAAAGATCTGCACGATGGAATCAGACTTGGAGTTCAAGTGCGAGGTGAGTTGAACAACTTGTGATTTTTATTTATTTTTGGTCCTTATAATCGAGCAGGTTTGCTGCAGCATTTAAATACGGCATTATAAATCTGCTGACCAAATAAAAAACACAATCTAACTACAAACAGACCATGATTATTTTAAACCATAAGTTTCAAATTGCAGCAAATATGAACGTTTGTTTTTATACTTTAAAAAAAATTAAATCTACATGTGATATCCTACGGTGGCTGATTGCTACAGCCACCGTAGGATATCGCGCTACATATTTTACTCCCCCAACGCTAGATGGCGCCAAATAACAAGTGTTTGTTTAAGTGTTTTTTTTTTCCACACATGCTCTGAGGAAACATTTTAGTCACCGATTAGGATTAGTGCTGATATGCTTGCCAAATGTTTCTTATTCTAATTTGAACAAAACAAGATGTACTTATTTTTCGCTTTTATTGTGGAATTTTTTTCTTAGTCTATTTTTTTTTTTTTAAATGAGCACCATCAAAATTCTCTCAATCACTATATTTAAAAGGGAGGGGCCCTTTATGGGTAGCCACTGGTGTCCTGCTAATTACACACTTCAGCATGATGTTAGTTGCAGGTTTCCTATTTTATTACTTAAACTTGTGTTTATATCATTTATTGGTTAAGTAGGTACAATATTCTGAATCTGCAATTGAAAAAAACCCACTTCTACTTATGAATCATTTTTATTGGCTTAGTTTCCTTTTCTGCTGCTTGTTATGTATGGGATAAGATAACTGTCAAAAAGTGTATATATAAGTGTATTGTTAAAGAAAGGCTCTATTTATGCACCGTGATGCTCTATCTTTCCGGGTCTCATCCCTGAAAAGAAATATCTCGAGACAAACTCTTTAACTAACTCTTCATAACTTACATGTATTAAAGAACCAGGAGACATGACAACAGATTTTGATTAAAAATTGTAATCTTATTCAGATCAGAGAAACTGCTTAAGAATGTACAGAAGGTAACTGCTCACCTCTGGGCTCACCTCACAGGAAGTGGCCCAGATTAACAGTTAAAAAGGCATTTTATACATATCCAGTCTGTCACATAATCTTATTTTACATCATATACATTAGCATATGAGGAGACATCCATGGCACTAGCCTTATCAAAATAGGACACCGCTCTCATTCCATTTCCAAATATTTGCCACGTACAAAATGAAGATAATAACTGTATATCCAGACAGAGGAATTGTCCTAATTAGATTAAAGCGTCAGTTCTGAGGCACAACAGGGTGTAATAAACTCACACACCTTCAGTGATAATTATCCTAACCGTATCTATAATACATTTGTAACTGTATTTAGATTGAAGATTTGTACTTTTTTGTTGTCACCTCATACATACATACATACATACATATATACATGTGGGTAATGCAGTTTCATTAGTGAGAAGACAAGTTTTGAAAATATGAGTAAAGGTTACAAAGGTACAATTTTGCAGGAATACAAGTACAGATGACAAATTAATGAGTATATACTGTATCCCAGAACCCCTGATGAAGCAGTTACACTCCTTACTAGTTAGTGACAGTAATGCTCCACAATCAAGAAGAAAAAAAATCCCCTCCGAACGAACATTTGCCTGTGAATTTAATGATGCGCAGCGTAATATTCGATCTTCTCCCTCTTGTTATTTAAAAGTAATATGTGAATGACCTTCAGGCACACTGCCTCCACCAACTGGTAAGCAGTCTAACAGCTTCATCATTTGTAATTTTTCTGATACATGCTCATGATTTGCATTTTTTTAATCTTCTAAATTCTCACAGATTTCTTCTAAACTTGTCTACTCACAGATAAAATATCTGAAGCAACAAAGAACACATGTTAGATTATTAAATATATAATATTGACTCATGTTTACAAATTCAGACCATACACCTTTATTGACAGTTATCCCAAAGGTTAGGCTTAATATTAACATTCGTGCTTTTGTTTTAGTTGGTTTATGGTAAATTTTCTGTGCATTTTGAAGTCAGGAGAACTGACCAAAGTGCTTTACACTTCATTCAGTCATTCACCCATTTACACTCTGATGGTGGCAAGCTACATTGTAGCCTGGGGCTGCTGCACACAGGCACCACCTCTGAACAACTTGCCCAAAGACACGACACTGAAAGGCAGAGCCGACAACCCTCCGGTTGCAGAGAAAACTGCTGCATCCAATGCCGCTGTCGCCCCCTTTATATCATCTTTAAATATATCTCACTGGTGTTTACACTTTGAGCCACATAAGCTAACCCTTCACCAAGAAGCATTCATTTTGAGAGCATTCTCCTTTCTTTTGTCCTAATTCTGTGTTTAGCTTTTTGAATTTATGGGAATGTTCTTGTGCGCCCATTAGGATGGACTTTTACTGGAAACCACAAAAAGATTCAAACTTCAGGGATTTTTTTTAATCATATTTTCACATTTCTCCAACTGAACATTTAAAAAAAGATCGTTTCTCTATTTATAGAATGATGAAGATGTTTTAAATTTAGATTATTTGTATGCTTTTAAAATATTTGTTTTGTTTTTTTGCTGTAGCTGAAGTGGAAAGGAAAAGACCTCTTTGACTTGGTGTGCCGGACTTTGGGACTGAGGGAGACCTGGTTTTTTGGGCTCAGATACAACGTAAAGGACACAGTGGCTTGGCTGAAGATGGAAAAAAAGGTTACTATACCACCATTCTTTGTTCCCTAAAATAATTTGGTCGCTTTTTTCTTAAGATATTTTTATTTTATAGTGGTTTTGATGTGTTTTGTGGATGTTTGCAGGTTTTAGACCAGGAAGTGCCAAAAGAGGAGCCCATCACTTTCCACTTCCTGGCTAAGTTTTACCCTGAAAATGCTGAGGAGGAGCTAGTGCAAGACATCACTCAGCATCTCTTCTTCCTACAGGTAACTAAGCTAAATATTAATTGTATTTTTGTGCCTGTTCATTCTGTTTGAATTAGAAACCATCAAACTATTGGTGGTGCTCAAATGCTGAAGCCAAAATAATGTAGAAATATTACACTAGAGGAATCATGTCAAATTTGAATGAAGAAATGTAGAGGAAATCAGTTTTTGTAAAATGCTGCTACAGGGTAAACATTGTGAAAGCAGGCGGAGCCAACAGAGAGAAGGAAACTAAAGGTAAAATGTGTGTATCAGGTGTGACATCAAAATGCTTTGGACCTCTGCTTCCTTAAACTCTATTATCTACCTCATTTTTTCGCTGAAGTGCATTCTGAGTATCCATAGCTTTTCTTAACTGTAATTCAGAGCCAACAGGGGGCGCTCATCCACAGTTTCTCCAAAAGATGTTCAGTAGAACCCTCTGCAACACACCTTATTGTGTGCAGTCATGTGAAATCAGTGCACAGCATATTACTGCTGCCCTTTATATCCAATTAACGCTCTCCTGGGGGAATCTTCGGCCTCCTTTACCTCTTCTATGAAAATTAGATTTTTATTTATTTATTAATCACCCAGTGCTACCTATTGGTAACTTATCAATCACCGATTAGGCTATAGTTGTGGATTTATTCCTAGTGTTATCTTGCTAAACTGTTATGCTAGTTTAGTTCTGTATATTTTACAGTTCTGCTCTTTGGCATCTTCTTAAATTATTTATCTGTACTTTATTTAAATCAGCTTGTGTTGATTTATTGAGTTAAGTCTAACAGTCAGATTACTCTGTAGAGGCGATACACAGCCACAAGGAGGAAGATTACAAAGGCTCAAAGCGTCATCACATTGCCTGTCTGCTTGTTCCTTTGCTCTCATTAATTCCCATAATGTCAGGAGGCAGCCTTCGTTCAGATAATGTCACAGGCGTGACAGCTGGATTAGAGCTTATCAGAAATGATCACCGATCAAGATCCGCACACAGTCAAGCACTCACAACACAAGCAGACACGTATGCACGTCTCTGTCACTTCAGCCTGCCATGATAACGACATTCTGCTCTCATTTGTAAAGGGGATGGCATCCTCTGTGTTTAGTGCTAGTTATGATTAAGGCTGTCAACCCCGGCTCCATACCTTTGTAAGTTCAATACAAGAGAAGACAGCTTGACTGGCTGCGTAAACGACAAGATCTGAAGCAGGAATTTGTCCACCTATGTAAGCACATATTTCCTCCACCTAACCTTAAAATCTGCTTTATATATGCAGTTGTGCAAGTTAGTTTATGAATCGATTAGTTTTACCAACGATGAAGTTGAAGAATAAAAGAATGGATGAGAAGTTTTACTTAATCTATGCATAGTGAATTTAAGCCTGTTAAAAATAATGGTATTACTGTGAACCCAGAGAGCTCAATCAGCACTTTTAAACTCTTTGGAGTCGTTTCATATGCCATAAAGTGAAGTTTTAATTAGAATTTTTCATCTTTTAGAATGAAATAAAATAAAGAAGTCAGCTACTTCTGAGAAGGAACTGCTTTCTTCTGTTCTGCCCCTCTTTAGTTTAAAAAGCTGAAATTCATGAGGCAGGCTGGAACAGAGAACATGAGAACAGAACTGGAAAAAAACATGTCAGTTTTTATTGCCTTCCTGACTCAAGTGGAGATAAAAGCCACCTAACATTAGGGCTTCTTCATGTTGTACACTACCTTTTCTTATTAGATGTTGGTCGTGGGCAAGACACTGTCTGGATGGAGTAAAGAGAGGGTAACAGTAGAGAAGCTGGTCCCGGTCTGTCCTGGTCTGCACCCTGGGTTGTCAGGGTTTTGGAGGACTAATACATTTGGCCAGATTCCTTAAAGTTATCAAGTCAGAATTCTGCCAAAAAGACACACCTAATAAATACTAATGATTGATTTAAAAAGATAGTGTGGGTTCACTGTTTATATTGAGGAAAGTTAGGCTTAAATAAACATTCCCCTATAGCTGAACACATACATTTACATTTCTAATAGGTTTGCATCTACTGTTTAGAATAGAATAGACAGATTTATTTCGTAATTGTAAACAAAAATACATTTTGTTTAAAACAGCTCTAAAAAATGTCAATTTTTTAAAGTGCAGCCTTAAAAACAGTAATAAATACATAAAAAATAGTAATATAAACTTTGACTATATATTTACAGTTCTATCATATTTTTAAATATAAAATAATCAATTTTACACAACATTCAGCAGTCTAATGGCCGTGGGGAAGAAACTGTTATGGAACCTGCTGGACCTGCATCGGATGCTTCGAAGTCTGTTCCCCAAGGGTAGCAGGGAGAACAGTCCATGGTGGGGGTGTGAGGGGTCATTTATAATGTTACGGGCTCGGGACACGCAGCGCTGGGATGAAATGTCTTTAATGGGGGGTAGAGGAGCCCCGATGATCCTCTCTGCTGTTCTTACTACTCTTCTCACCTTCTTCCAGTCTAAGGCGCTGCAGCCCCCACACCACATAGTGGTGATGTTCTTTTTGATGCTGATGTCCTCAATGCATTTGTTGATGTAGGCTGACACAGTCATGTCATACTCATCCATATTTAATACGTTGTCATATGTTGCTGCAGCCTTGAAGATGTTCCAGTCAGAGCATTCAAAACAGTCTTGGAGGGTCTCCATGGCGCCCTCATACCACCATTTTAGTGCTGGATCGGGGCTCCACCTGATACTGGTATCATTGTAACACTAATTATTATCCCATCATCCATCCTAATATTTTAGAATAGATTCACAAAACTCAAATTAATTTAGTATTGGTTTTAAATTTAGCATAAATGAAGTTGTTTTTTTTTTGTTTGTTTGTTTCTCAGTATCTTTCATAGAGACTAGAAAAGCGGGAACACATGTTCAGTAAAATTTTTGATTTAAATAATTTTCATTTTCAATTTTTATTTTAATTTTTTAGGTGGGAAGGAAACTGGATTACCCAGGGAAAACCCACACATGGACAGGGATAGGGCAAAACTTAATATGAGTTTAAAGGTTTATTGACTGGATGGTCAATAAACTAAGACTAATATCCTAAATAACTGTTGCCTGATCTCTTAACAATATGAGCCGATGTATCAATGCAAGACATAATCAAGGAATTGGAATTGAAAGAAATATCCATTCTAAAGGCAGGTTTATGTAACTTCTCTTGCATTGAGGTTTTGTAGTATCCTTATGTGTTGAATGTAAAGTGCAGCTTTTGAATTCTGAAAGGCAAGATAACTTAGACATTTCTTTCTTATACAGGGATATACCTGGGATACATATTCCAAGCTATCATTTTATCCCATCATCCATCTTAATATTTTGGATTAGATTCAAAAAAGTACGACTAATTTAGTATTTCTGTTAAATCTAGTTAAGAGAAATAAAAATATTAAATAAGTATTTTTTGTTATTGTTGTTTATCAGTATTTTGCATACAGACCAGAAAAGTGGGAACACATGTTCAGTATAATTTTAGATTTAAATTTAGAAAACTTTTTTTTTTTTTTTTTTTTTTTTTTTTTTAAGGTGGGAAGGAAACTGGAGTACCCAGGGAAAACCCACACATGGACAGGGATAGGGCAAACCTTAATATGAGTTTAAAGGTTTGAGGGGATAAAGGTAGAAAGGGATAAAGGGATGATAGGATGAAGGGAAGAAGGAATGAAGGGGTGAAGGGATGAAGGGGGTAAGAAATGAGGGGATAAAGGACGAAGGGATTAGGAGGTGAAGAGAGGAGGTATGGATTTATGTTAATCCATAAATACGGTAAATAAATAAATACATTTGGGATGTAATGATGTGAGTCCCAACCTGTCTTCCATCCGAAACGTGTGATTTCTCAACGCCTCAAGAACATAAGAACTGTTGCTGTTAAAGTCAGACTCCAAAAAGAAATTATTCTACAAGTCCATATCATATTTGACCTTTGCAGTTGCAGCAAGTGTGAAATTATTCCGAAATTTTCCGGTTCTATGCGCTTAACTCAGACAAATTTTGCTCTTCCAGCTGTGCTTGTGCAGAAATGCATCTTTGTTCTTGCTTAGCTCCGAGTTTGGCCTGGCTCTGCACACTGATGGTTCATATTTGTCATGCCAAACAATGCTGTTCTGCCAAAAAGTTAATGGCTAAAGGGCTGGTTATACTCCCGCAGCAGTGTGTCGCAGTGAGCTTGTCTCAGATATTTCTGATTTATGTCCAATATTGAAGCATGGTCTGTGCTATGTTATTGCACACCACAACACACCAGGGACAATCAGAGACTAGCTGTTGGTCTAGATATGGCCGAGGTGAGGAAAGGGGGGCATGTTTGTGCGACAACATAGGGACATGAGACTTGGTTTCTGAGTATAAATCGGCTTTAAGCTCGGGCACGTCTTTCGGGGTGTTATCTGAGTATCAGATTAGTGCCAAACAGTTTTCCGATCAATTTTTATTATTATTTTGTGCATTATTGTTAATAATAGGCGCAATAAGAATCTGCTTCGAGCTTCAGGTCTCTCTGTATTAACAGCTAGTTTCAGGTTTTATTGTCCATTTAAATGCCAGTTTTAGTCATTGTGGTCTGTTGGTTTATAGAAAAAGTACAAAAAGGTATATATTTAACATTCCACCCATGTGAATATAGTGGATAAATCTCCTGAGGTTACACATTTATCTTTTTTTACACATTAATTTAAAGTTTCAATAAATGGCATAAGATGCCTTGGATTAGATTGTGTCTTCATATGTTAACAACAGCCTATCATCTTTAAGCTAAATGAAGAGGCTCTGCTCTCTTTAGTGCTGCAGCGTTTGGTGTCATCATGCTAGCTTATATAAAATTCTCTAAGGCCCCCACATGAAAGGTTTGGGGTGCTTTCATGTCAAATTCATTTGAAATAAAGTATTCTGCTGCAGAAAAATCACCTCTACTAACCATCAGTTTTTTTTTTACTTTTTTAAAACTAGAACAAATTTTAAACATTTGAAAGCAACAAGCTTAAAGCACATCATTTATACACAACATTAAAGCCAAACTACAGTGTGACAGTTAAGACATTTTCCCAGGTTTTATCCGTTTTTTTTGGACAAAGTGTCTTTGTCTCATATTTACATCAGACTTTCTTTCATCAAATTATTGTTTCTATAGGAGAAACTTCCTTATTCAGCTATTAAGTATGTTTTGAGCAAACTTATGTTTCACATGAGCACTTTAGCAAGCCAGGGAGGAATAAAATGATGGATCGAGCTTTAAATGTCTTCATACTGTAGTTGAATTGCTATTTTGAAAATATCTAAGTGGAAGAATTTTACACAAAGCAGTTTTCTGAAATCCACTGTGTAGGAAATTGTTGTTCTCATGACCAATCTCAGGACTGTTATTTCTTGGGAAGTTGACAATGTTTATAGGGTACTTTTTTCCAGTACAGAGCAATGAAATTAACTCTTTGCATTTAACCGATGCCCTTGGGAGCAGTGTGGGGTTAAGGGTCTTCCTCAGAGAGCCAGAGTGGCAGTCTGTGGGAGTGGGTTTCGAACTCACAACCTCATAATTCCAAGCTCTATGTCCTAACTACTAGGTTGCCACTCCCCTATCATGGTCCTGAAGATCTGGTGTCCTGCACCCTTTACATGTGTCTCTGCTTCCACATCTGAATCAAATGGTGGATTACCTCCTCAGCATGGAGTCAAGTTCCCCAGAGTCCTGCTAATGACTGGATTATTTGACTTATTTGGTGTGTAGAAGCTGAGCTGCATCTAAAAGGTGCAGAACAACGGACCCCCAGAGCCTAAATAGAGAAACCCTGGTTTAGTGGTTTCCTACACATTGTGGAAGAAACTAAAGAGGTATAGATGTATCAAATGTTTCCAGGTCTAGATGGGTATAGAAGAATAAAATACGTGTAATTAAAAATATTTTTTTACTTTTATTGTCAACGTTTTATTGCAGAGCTATTAAATAATGTGGTAAATGCAGTGGATTTACATTGATTTATTCCACATCATACCTTATTTGTAAAAATCTACCCATCTCCCTCTCTCAAAGTTTAAAGTCTAATTCAAATGACTGAATTTGTTAAATCAGACTAAGACTAGTAGAAAAATACAAGTTTGACCAACTCTGCAGTGATGGAAGCCAAAGCACATTTTCTACACTTTTATTCAGTGTTTTGCAGATAAAATAAAGGAATACATGTAAAAATACATTATACATAAGAAATATATTATTAATAAATTTCGGAAACTATATAAATCAATAAAAGTCTTCATATGAATAATTAAAAAGACACCAATTCAACAACAAAAACAAATGGCAGAGGCACAATGAGCGCCACAAAGCAGATATTGCTTTATAAATGGATCGTTTTTTGATAGGTCTCGGCGAGAGCCTTAAAATCGTGATATTTTGTGGTGCTATCGGGATGGCAATAAAATTGGGTATAAAAACACTCTTCATTAGTTCATCCCTAGGTGACTGTGTAGCTGTGAATGCACGCCACAGCAATAAGAATCAATTTAAAAATAGGTTATTGATGCCAAAGGGAAAATGAATGTTGCAAAAACTAAAGCTAAAGTTCTCCTAAAAAAGAACATTAGAATCGAGCCAGAAGACGGTGAAGAGTGTGCAGCTTAAATTGCGCCATCCTAGAAAATATAGCCTCACAATCAGAGCAGTTATATAAAGAAGTGGGATTTTCACTAAACATGCCCAAAGGAAAATAGATGGAAGAAGAAAAATATTAAAAAAGGAAATTCACCGTTCATCCATTTTTTTTATGTTTTTTTCTTTTCATCAGTAATTCTTATCTATTTTTTTTTACAAATAAAAATTGTTATCTGGACTAGAAATTTGTCATGATAAGGATAAGAAATAAGATAAATGCCACCCTCTATTTTTAGATTGGTTTCTAAACAGATTAATAAGGACTAGGAGGATTGATATTGGAATGTCGTCTGATATTAGATATCCTGATATTTTCCAATATTAACTGTGGATATGACCGATATATATATATATATATTTTTTTTCTTTTTTCGCCAGACCTACTAACAGTGACTGTCTTGTGCAGTCATTGCAAATAGCACTTTGGCTTTTTGTTTCTGAAACTTAAAAAAAGATCCACACCACCACCATTTTCACTTCTGACAGACTCCTCTACCTGTAGGGTGCATATAACCTGCTGGTGCTGCAGCCATAATCCTCACTTGTCCAATTTAATCTGCGATTATCCTGACGGAATAGCGGATATCCTATATTTAATTTTTAAAGTTAATATAGGCCAACCTCTATCGCATGCAGGTTATATTATGCATCCCTAATTGGAGCTGCGTAAATTAATCATCAAAGGTTTGTTTGTTTGAAGATATAAATAAGTTAAGTTATTCTTTTTCACAGCTTGGTCTTATTTTTTTAACCTATAGCTGAAATATCTTGAATTTTCAACATACTGTCTTTTTTTTCTCTCACTCAGTTTTATTTCCTTATCTGTCAGTGTGGGGTTTAGAAAATGCTGTTTGGGCTGTCAAACACTCAGCAGTCAGAACATTGTTGCTTCCCCATTACTTCTCTCAAAGGCAAAACTGTTTTTTTCTTTATTGCGTGACACAGATGAGATCATCTTGTTTGTCTCTCCCCCATGTCTCCCCAACATTTCTGCCTCTCTTAAAGGGGAAAAAAAAAAACCTTCAGAAAATATGGGAGCAATTTCCTGGCAAATAAATTCACCGCTTTAACAACATAACAAGAGGTTTGTTTTCTGTTTTAACGGACGGTTCAATTATGTCTAAAGATTGTGCTTGTTTGAACAACTTTAAATATTCAAATCAGTCGTGCTTCAAAACTGCTGACATTTCCCTTTAGGTGAAGAAGAAGATCCTTGAAGAAGAAATCCACTGTCCTCCAGAGGCCTCCGTGCTTTTGGCTTCTTATGCCGTCCATGCCAAGGTCAGTAATGTTTTCTATTTTCTTGTTTTTTGTCTTTTGAACCTACAGAGATGGTCCAGTTTATACATTTTTGAGAATCCATAACAATTAAATGTCTTTCCTACAGCAGATATTTGCGGTCCCAAAATTAAACAGAGATTGGTTGTATGAATTTTAGTCCAAGACATTTACAGAATAAGTTTTGGTTGTATCAGGTTTTAAAAGTTTTGAAGCTTCCCTAAAGTAACCCTGCCACATATGCTTATAATGTTGTGTTTCTTCTACATGCTTTATTATTAATACAAGTAGAGTTACTACATTGTAGTAGTTTATAAAACACACACACACTGGTTTGATAGCTACTGTTTGTAAACATTGAAGGTCACTCAGTGAAGCGTTGCGTCTTTTTAACCTTATAAACAATAAACAGTTTAATTCCAAATCCTATTTGACTATTTATGTGAATAGCATATTTTTGCCCACTGAGCAAAAACTGGTTGAAATGACATTGAAAAGATGAAATGATTTAGTCCGAACTACGTCTACATTTGGTTGAAAGGTGAAAAGCCGTGATTTACAGATCATTGAAAAGACTTTAAAAACTGGGCGTTCAACGTCTTTTCAACGTCTTTTATTGGACTAATGAGGGACAAAATCAGACCGACTCAACACAGCTCAATTTTTCAACAACAATTTTTGGACTAAATCAAGACTATAGCCTTTTCTCCACAGAAAATAACTGGTTAACGCGTGTTTTTTAAACATGGGTAAACCCAATAAAAATCGGCATTCAGCTCCCTTCCCACTGACAAAAAAAGATGGGTCTAACCTGTAGCTGGAAAGATGCATGGCCTCTGTCCCCCCGCGGCTGTGTGTGTGGCAGGCTTTTAGCTAGGAATATTTCATAGGGTTTACACCTTGGTGTATCACATCTTCAGGCTTTGCATGGCGGTTATCCTCCCCTGGAAAATGTTGAAATTTAGACTCTCTGGACCACAATTTCCTGCATTTTGAGATGGATTGCAGGTAACCTTTTGTCTTTGTTATAACACTACTTTTGCTACATTTGCTGTGATCATCTAGTAGAAAGTCTACCTGAAAACATCTTCTGTGTAGTCAGTTCATGAAGATTACGATCCTGCCTTAAAATATTATTTCGCTGTCGAAACCATGCAGACCGCCACATACCGGCGAGGCTCTGCCACTGGGAATACAGCAACTGCTGCGTTTGGCTCGGTTGCCTCTTGTGGGATTTCCCCTACTGTTCGTGGAAGTAGATGTTAACCTTTATTAAGGTATACGATACAAACTGCAAGCATCAGAATAATAAAAGCGGGCATATTTTGCCGGCAGGTTTCAAAATTTTAAGTTAATTTATGCGTTAATAAACAGTCTCAGTGTAGTGATCATAGCTGCACAAGCAGCACTATTTATCTCCCTGCCAGCTCCCAGATCAACTTCTCTGATTGGTTGATGTGGCGCGCGAGCAGCGAAAGTAAAATTTTCCAACTCCAGCTGCTTGTGAAATTTGAGCAAAGTTTTTAGGAGAAAAACAGCACATACAATCTGTCATTTTTTTAGTAAATCCGTACAATGTACGGCCATACAAATAGCTAGCTGGTGACACCATCACGCTGCGTTAGCGTTGACGATGTTACCAGTATGACAGAAATCAGCAAAGTAAAGAATGAAGAACAACATCTAAGAGAGCCAGGGTGTAGTAAGTGTGCTTTATTGTTTTGCTCTATTTGTCAAAATCCCTCTCACCAGTGCTGTGTTATGTTTATCCAATGTAATCAGAGTTGTTTTCAGCTTGTAAAATCAGAGCGACTGGTGCGTTGTGCTGTTGTCTGTATGTTGTGCTCAATGGTATCAAGTAATTTAGCGGGTTAACCGGCCCTGGTGTTCCCACAGCATGCCGATCAGAGTCGAGGTGATTTTAACGCTGATTGTTCCTGGGTTTAAACTGTTTTTATGGCCAGGAGGAAAGGGATTTATGATGGACCAACAAGGTTTGGCCTAAAAACCGACGTCTAAATGGCGTCTCGTGTTCGGAGGATGTAATGTCAATATCAGGATTGGCCGTTTCTGAAGCAATTACATCCTTTGCAGTACTTCATGTTAACAGTAGGGGCCACTATTGGGGAAATCAGATGACTACACCGCAGAAATATCAGCCGAAAGAAAAAGTTGACAAAATCGTAAATAAAAGTCATAAAAATAAATTAGAATGTAAATAAATGTAACTAATCTGGACACAGCCACCATCCGGTTTGCAAGTTTTGACCTGAAGTATTCAGTGGAGTGTTGCCATTATTTAACTCTGTATTACTGCTTATTTCTTTAAGAGAGCTGCACACTGTAAGTTAGATTGTAACTGGTCATTAATTTCACCAGACCCTGCTTAGAAAAATCTACTATTCTCCTAAGATTTGACCCTGATCTCCAAACTGCAACAGTTCATTCATTTATTCTTCCCTCTGCCTTATTATTCTGGATCATCCTTTGGGAACTTCACTAACATTCATGTGACTCAGTGGACTCATCAAAAATTTGTATGCTTTGATTCTTATTTGTTTACAGTATTATGTGCTTAAATCAATGCTTCGTTAACCTGTTTTATTAGCATCCACCTTTAGTACTAAATAGTTTTTGCACCAGGAGGATCCCACGGACAGGAGCCCTTTAGGGTTTTTTTTTTAAACTTACTGAAACAGACTGTTTACTTCTTATCCCTCACTTCTCTTTGTTTGTTTATCTGTATCTGGCTTCTCTACCAAAAAGTCATAAATCCCCTTCATCTGATCCTGATGTCTGTCAACCTCCCAATGAGGAGCAGGGAAGCAAATCTTAGCTTTTCACTTGCTTGTTTTTTGTCTGTAAGAATTTTTCACATTACACACAAAATATATGGCTCACAGCATTTTCTAAGACTCTTTTCTGAGATGTGGTTTTCTAAACCATTTAATTGATTTGTTAATGATAATAATTAATAATTATAATTAAACTTTATTGATCTCACATTGGAGAAATGTACCTCTGCATTTAACCCATGCGCTCAGGGAGCCGTGGGCTGCCATTGTAGGGCGCCCTGGGAGCAATCGGGGGTTAAGGGTCTTGCTCAGAGACCCAGAGTAGCAGTCTGTTGGAGTGGGTTTCGAACTCACAACAGCTCTATGCCCTAACCACTAGGTTGCCACTCCCCCTTGTTGTATTTCAGTTGTAGTAATCTAAGCTGTCTGCCTTTTATTGAATATAATAGTATATCAAGGCTTAATTAAAACCTTTTGGTTCCTTCTATTTAAATGAGATGCCACAAAAAGTGACCAAACTTTCTATAGTTAAACTGCGTTGCTTTTCTGTAGATGTATCCAAGGATAATACAATAAGGTAAGGATAACCACCTTTATTGGTCACAGCAAATATTCATGAAATGATTATTTGAAGAGCCGCATAAAAAAAATTAGATAAAGCATTTTTTTTTTTATAAATGTAAATTTCAGTTTTTCTTCAGAATAAACAATAAGATTGCCTTTAGATGACCCCACTCTGCAGAATCGGTTCATCTTAGCCAGCAGTGACGTCATTGAGGGCCTAAGCCGTCTCTGAGACATCAGGGTAGGCCTCTGATCAGAACGGCCCTTCAGGTGAGCTCTTATCATTAAGACTCTTTGGCCTGCCTCAGGGAGAGTAAAGCTGAGAACATGTAGATGGTACTTTTTCAAATCATTGCAGCTATTTTCCAGGAAGTAAATGCGATTGATTTTGTTTTGTAATATTCCGTTCAACAGCTTCGTTCTACTGTTGCCATGACTGCAAACAAAAAATCGAATCTGCTGATTTAGATGCTCATACTGTAAGTTTGTATTTTACTTGAAAAGTCCTCGTTTGAAGAGAACCTTTAAAATATAATACAAACGTATAAACAAATAAAATACAATACAATCATTGTCCACTTAAATTTTTTATTATTAATTAAGTTGCTTTATGGTACCTGAAAAGTAAATCAGAGGAGCCTGTAGATCATTTTAAAAAAGGGGAGCTAAACTGTACTGTCAAATAAAAAACTCAAAATTGTAAATTACTTATATATATATATATATATATATATATATATATATATATATATATATATATATATATATATATATATATATATATATATATATATATATATATATATATATATATATATATATATATATGACTTTAATATTCATACAGCTGATGTTTTAATCTAAAACAGTTTGAGCCTCTAGAGCTTAGATATGAATGAAGCATGCGTTATATGTATTTATGTATTCTGTGAAAACAGCTTCAATAAAATCTTGTTCATTTATTATCCAGCCACCTCAGTGGTTTTGCTTGAAAGGTTCTACCTCTTTAAAATCCACTAGAAAAGCAGGGGAGGACTCTGGTGGAGCTTTTTGACAGGCAGACAGGGTTTACTCAGGCCAGAGCTCTGACTCAAAGATCTGGCCCAGATCCCCCTGGAGACCTGGCTTTTCCATGCCAATTTAACAGGCCTAGGTGAAAAAGAAAAGCGTATGGATGGAGAAAAATCTGAACATCAGCTGGTGCCGCGTGCCTCTTGGTGGATGGACCCTCTGTCTGGTAAACAGCACAAATATGAGGCCTCGGCCTGTTTTCATTTCATCAGCAGTCAGCTTTGATTAGAGTCGGTGTGACCAAAGTGGACGTGTAGAGAGCAAACAGGTTCTTGTTAAGCAGTGCAGCTGCTGAGGAGTGCCTGGCAGCCTCTCTTTCTCTCCTCACCACCTCATGATCTGTTTTTGAGCAGAATAATCGCTCCATCTGAGTGGCTGAGTGTATTACACGGTGGAAACCGCTGTAGTGCTTTGACTTGAGTTAAAGCATCATTATACCAGCCTTACATTAGCAGAAGGGGGTCACACTTCAAGGCAGCTTTAATGTCTATAAGATATAGATTTTTTATTTTAGTGGAGTTGATGCCTTCTTGTATATTTACCTTTATTCCAATACATTTTTTTTATTCCTATCTGAATAGCAAGAATAAAAGACAGTTTCAGAGAAGGTTTTATTGATAATAATTAAGCAAGAAGGGTAATGGGATTACTGCTGCCTTTGAAACAGCTGTAAATTGGTATGGCTTACTGGTTCAACTCTTTTTTTGTTTTTGTTTTTCTGTTTCTAAAAAAGTTGAGGATTAGGACATTACTTTATCTAGGCTCAAATTTAAACTTGAACTAAATGATAAAACCACTTAGTGTAGAGGTCAGGTTATGTTTTTATATCTGATATTTTTCCATCTCAGTTTACCTCAAGTTACAATTTAATGTAAAAAAAAAAAAAACACGCAACGGCTTTATATAATGAAACAATAATAATTTTGAGAACATTTTGCAATACAGAGGAGTTTAATGTTAACTGCTTGACTCTAAAGCCAGGCATACACTGTACGAGTTTTTTCCCTTTTCAAGCCGATTCTCCAGTTGTGCGGATCTTTGGATCAGACCCTAGTAAGGTGTTCGTGAGCAAATCCTGCTTTTAAAGCAGAGCTACAAGCTTCTACGAGCCAATTTACCAGAACATCGCCCACTGGGCATGTGCAGACTAGGGAATTCTTCTTCTTCTTCCAGAATGACGGGTCCGACCAGCACAATCTCTCAGTGCTCAGTCCGATATGTGGTTCTTGGACATATGTACAGTGTGAGCAGTTACATCGCATCAGAGCATCGGGCCGGATAGTGTAAGAACACATATTGTGAGCCGTTTAACTTTTTGAGTTTCAGCTGTAGCTGCACAAAATAAATACACAATAATAAACTGTACAAAATATTGTACGGTTTATGTCCGGCCTAAGCTGTCATGTTCTCATGGCTTCAAAATAATCTCTCCACCGCCTTGCTTGGCAGATGTCTGAAATGTGTTCCACCCATGATACATTTTTTTTCACCGGAACATGATGGTCATGTATTAATTGGGATTGAATTAATATTCTTCCAAGATTAACAGATTGCTGGACTCCTTTTCTGTGGTCATTGCCAATGACATGTATGCTCTAGAACAACAAACAGCCTAAACTCCATCTTTTATAAATGTCATCAAATAACAATACAAGTGTGTCTGATTGGTTTTATAGATAACATTTTACCTTGTAAAACCTTCTATTTATATATCTTTTTGTTTCAGAGTTTCTGCTATAAAGAACCTATTTTTGAAATTATACAGTCTATTTATACCATATATGTATGTTGGATGATGCCTTTGTAGCAGTGTTTGGTTTGTGGTTTCTTAACTTCTTAATTCCTAACAGCTGAGTCGTTTTATTTTTATGCATTTAATTGTGCTTCATACTGTTAGTGTTTACAGACCTTAATTGAGCAGATGTGATTTTTTACACTATAGAAAATTTAGAGGAATAAAAAAATTGAGACATATGGAAACGTTGTTGTGGGTAAATTCTGTCCCTTTAAATTTGTCTCATTGTTGTGATGTTTCTTTCACAGCGGTGTTAAAACAGTTTTATCTTTTGGATGAATAGTAGTTGATCTTACTATGACACTGATAAGCTGTCCTTTGGTGCTCAGAAATGTTCATGCAATTTTGAGGTTAGTGATGCTTTATTACCTCAGTTAATCACTTTATGAAACATTATTTAGCAACTAGAAATAAAAAGGTTAAAACCCCCAGGAGTAAATGACACGATTATGATGATGGAAAACTTAAAAGATGGATCTGATTAAAAAAGCTTCAAGTCTAAATATCTGTAATTATTTTCCTGGTGTTTTAGATTCAGCATTCAGTAAATTGATCTTATAAATGCGAGTTCCTCTATGTCCTGGTTTCAGACTTGAACTTGGTAATAATCTAAATTATTTGTTACAGTGCCTTGGAGAAATTATTCGACACCCTTAAACTGTTTGATGTTTTGCCACCTCTCAAAATATAAAGATATAAAATTTTAATTTTTCTGTGAAGAATCAACAAATGGGACACAGTCACAAAATGAAATGAAATTTATTTGATATTTTAACAAATAAAACTTGAAAAATGGTGTGTGCAAAATTATCTAACCCCTTGATTTAATACCTTGTAGCGCCACCTTTTGCTGCAATTACAGCTGCAAGTCACTTAGAGTATGTCTCTATCAGTTTTTCCACATAGAGAGACTGAAATTTTTTGCCCATTTTTGCTTGCAAAACAGCTAAGGCTCAGTGAGGTTGGATGGAGAGCTTTATAACAAGGAAGTATGATAACCCAAAAGGCCTGAAAAAATATTTGTTTTTATTTATGTATGGTTTGTGCTTTGAAATCAGTAAAAGCTTTATTTCCAAGTAGTGTTTTACAGGTATGAGAAGTTTGCTTTGGGATTAGATATGTTGGAAATATATAATATGTGGAGGATTTACATGTGCTCAGATAGTTATATTCAAATACTATTTAATAAGTACTTTAACACTTCTGGCAAAATGAGCTGATCTCAAAGGCTGAAATGTTTTGTCTTATAATTAACTAGCAGTTCAAGCGCTCTAAAATATTCAAACAAGTGTTTAGATATTTTAATAGCATAAATCTATTCTTCACTGTTAGTTAGTCATGTTAAAGTCTAACCTAAAAAACGGGTTGTATTTTTCTAAAACAGGAGCTTGTGAATTAAATCCATCATCTATTTTCACTTTTAAGTTGTATTCTCCTACTTCACAAAAACTGATACACAATATGTTCTCATAAAAGTTGTTTTCTTAGACTGTCTCTTACTTGTTGTCCATGTTGATTGTTGTCGATGGGTTTTACCACTAAAAATAGATTTTATTAGCCATTAATTCTATGGCCCATTTTCTAAACATCTGATTTTGTAAAGCTATGACCTGGTGATAAAGATTTTGGCTTCTGAAGGTTTAAAATAGGAGGAAATAAAAGAATTGGAAATGTTTTTTAGCATTCCTGTTGATCGCATGGTTAAATATAGTAGGTTGAACAGCATCCTTCGCTGGTCACAGGAATTATTACTGACCATAAAACATCAGCTAAAAAGCCCTTGGAGACTGAAACGCAGCCAGAGACAAGGTGTTGGTAGGCTTTTGCAGATAAAGCAGGAGTAGATCTGCGTAGAATAATAATTGTTGGCCTGCTTTTGTTCTTTTACAGTATGGAGATTATGACCCCGAGGTTCATAAACCAGGCTTCCTGGCTCAGGAGGAACTGCTGCCAAAGAGAGTGAGTGATTGCTGGTTCGATTACTGTCACTCATGAGACAGGGTGCTGACATATTTGTCATTTTATCTTACCATGTGCCTGGATTGAACAGTATGTGGTGTTTTAATATATACCATATTTGCCCGTGAGCCTTTCTGCATATTTATGCCTGCCTTTTTCAATTTCAGGTTATTAACCTGTACCAGATGACTGCAGAAATGTGGGAGGAGAGGATCACTGCATGCTATGCTGAGCACAGAGGCAGAACAAAGTAAGCCAGCTGCTCATGAGTAGACTGCTCTGAAGTTTAAAGTTTGAGGTGACATTGGATCTGCTTAAGGCTCGGCACATAAATAAGCGCTCAGGTGCTGTGATGTAACTAGTAGTTCGTAAAATATAATTCAGTTCGTAAAATATAATTTTGATGGGAAGTTAAATAATTGGTGACACTAATTCACTATTCATCTCTTGAAGTGGATCATTTATTTTCTGCAGTATGCAATCATTTGCCTTTAAAGCTAATGTACTCTACCTAAAATCAAACAGAGTTGCCAAATCCAGAAAATGGCTGAAAGCTCCAAAAAAGATGATGACATAAGTGGTCTAAAAAAATGTAAAATGATGATTAATGAAACTAAGGTGATTGTGCCTTGAATTGTGTTCCTCTGCAAAGCCAAAGTGAAATAGATGTAAGCAGCTGTTGGGAATGCAGAGGGCCTTAAAACTGTGTGGGGGGAACATTTTAGCTCAAAATGGACTTTTAAAAGCCTGAGTCCCTCAGTGCTTTGATAAGTAATCACTAAGCTTCTAGTGCTGATCAATAATCCTTTTATCGTTAGGAGCTGAGGAGGAGTTTCTGTTGTTTTTTTTTTTTTTTTTTTTTTTTGTATTTCCCTTCAGAATAGATGTGAATTTTGGGTTGAAGGCCACTGGTGGTCTGATTTAAGACAGACAGAAGTGATGAGATCAGCTTTACTGGTTGCATTATATCTAAATAATAGCATGAATTCACAATAATTAACCTTTATAGAGTTGAACAATGAATTAAAATAGTGTTTAATTAGCAGAAAAAAACACAAACAAAAGGTTTAATCTGCTATTTGATCTCTGAAGTTCGGACTTATTTTTTTTTTCCACCTCCAATATGCATTATTTTAACATCTAATTGGATATACAGTATTACTAATGTCCTGCATTATGTAACAGTGGGGTTTTATCACAATAACCAACAATATCTAATATTCCAAAATGTACCTAGTTAGTTTTTACTAGTTACCATTGCAAATGGAAATTGTTATTCAAATCCTGCAGTTTATGATGGACTAACATAGCAGAATGTTTACAATACAGTGAAATGAAATAAAAAATGACTTGAATTTTTAGAAGGTTTTCAAATTTTTTCATGTTACAACAAACTTCAATGTACGTTTTTGGACATTTGTGTGACAGACTATCAACAAGTAGAACATCATTGTGAACTAGAAGAAAAATGATAGTTCATCTTTATCCTGATGGATGGAAATAAAACTCACTGCAGCCAGCTACATTTAGAAGACGCCTTAGAAGGAAAGTCAGCCTAGGAATGAGTTTAAATACAGATGTTACAGCAGTTCTATTAAGGCATTAGAAGTTTGCTTAGGAACATTCATTTAAAACAAACTTGTTGTGGACATGTTTAAACTGGAGTTTGAACAATATCCTATGCTTTGAACATTTGATGGAGCGTTATTCACTCGTAATAGGAAAATGGACATCCACCTAATCGGACAGGTGTGGAGATGGAATCTTTAATGGGATCTATAACTCCACTGCAACATTTATGAAGAGTAACAAGAAAGGAGATGTTAGACAAAGAGAGTTTGCTTAACAGCAAAGGCTGCTGGAATTCTTTATTTAAACAAAGACAGAAAAACTGGTCCTAGTTGATGGGAAGGTAAGCTTTAATGCAGAACCACTCTACACACAGTTACAGGCTGCAAAAGACCTGGACAAACACACATAGCTGAAGTGGAAGTGCTCAGATAAAGGCATGTTCATGTGTTAAAATGGCCTAATTCATGTTCAGAACTAGGTTCAATTTGTTAAACTTACAGATGCTTATCAATTCCACTGTTTTGCAAAAATAAATAAAAACAAATGGACAAAAGGTTCATTGTCTAGGTGTCCAAATTTGGGGTTTTTGCTCATTTGTCTGAAATATGTTCAACACTTTTTTATCGTTTAAAAAAACATGTAAAGCATACTTTTTTCTAGTCAAATTCACTTTGCAGACTTCTTCTTCTGAAGTATTTTGTAGGTTTGCCCTTGGAAGCAATCAATGTAAGGAGAACACTGATGCTCCTGGCAGTGGGAGGAAGTCGATCACCTTGTTTTAATGGGGTCCCCTCATCTGTATACTGGTCCACTCGCTTTTTGAACTTGATTCCAGGTTGACATGCAAGCACCACATCAAAGTGCCTGACTGACCTGCCATTTGCATTTATATGTTCAATGCAGGGTGAAGCGAAATGCTTTGCAGCTCTATACTTCCCTGCATAAATCACGCCTCACTGTGTGAATATATTTAGATCCTGTCTAAAAAGCGGTTTCCATCTACTTGGCACACATCCTCTAACCACCCAGACCAAGCAGACTCTGTTATTAAAGTACGCTAATGATCTTAGTTTTTTTCCTTATGTGACCCTGAATAACAGCTGCCAGAGTTCTGGTAGAAAATGGAGAGAGGAGAAGACATTGATGCCTTTGTTTTCTCTCCAGCAATATTTACTTTCATGGAAGCATCAGAACAAGACTCGTTTTCCATCAAACATGACCTCTGAAATCTGTTATAGACTTGTGCCTTTTTCGCTGGTATTCAGCCTATATGTTTTTGTTGTTTTTGCCCTTGTAAGAGCTGTGTGACAGTTTTTATAGATCTCACAGCATACCATGCTCTGCACAGAAAAGGAAAGGAAACATGGTTTGATCTTTTTTTTCTCCTCTTCTGTTTCTCCTTTTCTCTTCTTCCATCCATCTTTTCTACAATCCTTTGGTTTCCTCTCAATCTTTTTCTCCCTCTCCTTTATCATTGAACTAGGGATGAAGCTGAGATGGAGTATTTGAAAATAGCCCAGGACTTGGACATGTATGGCGTCAATTATTTTCTAATCAGGGTGAGTCGATGCTGTATTGATTATTTTGTCATGTTACGGTGCTCCTAAGCGGGCTTTAAACTTTTTGGAAAATACTGAATTATTATTTAAGAGTTTATATTCTTTCATACACATATATTTAATCTGGATGAAATTGGATTATAGAACCGTTTATAATCTTTCATTGTCTAAAAGCTCCAGCTGTTAGCTCATTATCAAACTATCCTTTAGTCCAATTATCTGTATCCCTATTTCATAATTAACCATCCCATCATTTATCTGACCATCCTCATTTTTTTCAGGTTCGATTCTCCAGTCAGGCATACCCTTATAATTATAATATGGATTATTTTTTTTCATTATGGGTGCTGTAAGTGGTTACTGTATATTAAAAAGGAAGTGCAATGTTTTTGGACAATGTGCTGCTGGGAGGCATTAGGTGCTGATACCCATGTGGATAGAATATCACCTACTTTTAGAGAGCACGTACACTCTTCTTAGCTATTAGAGATGATACATCTTATCAGAAAGCAAACGTGGTGGGTATGAGTTGCAAAGGAATTAGTTTGAGGGCTTTATGTGGGCTCCAAACTTAAATATGCAGGTTCTAAAGGAAATTCTCCTATCAGCAGTGATACAACAGCACATCTTTCAGGGATCTGATGGAGTCAAGGGCTCAGTGTTTTGCAGGGTAGACTGATATTTGCTTGGTCATAATTTTATGCCTAATTATTGTATTTAAAGCTTACTGTAGAAATATCTGTTATATTTAGAGTTATAAACTGAACTGAAGCAGCGATTTATTTCTTAGAGATATCTTGAGTCACAATATGAACAGTTTTAGGAATCCACATAAATGACAAAACAAGACTGTAGCACAGAAACTGAACCTGAGCTGGATCAAGCTTTGAATAATGCGGACGTGTAAAATCCATCGACATTCTGAGACTCAGCTTTTTAAAAACTAACAAGTGGAGAAGATGTTCTTCAATGCTCAGCTCGATTTGAACTAAATGTTGGGGCGAGCAGAACGGTTGCGCAATGCATGTCTCACAGCTGCTAGCTTATGTCAGGTACTGGAAAATCTTTATTTCTTTTCATGTGGTGTAGAATAAAAAGGGAACAGATCTTCTGCTGGGAGTGGATGCCCTTGGTCTGCATATCTTCGAGCCAGAAAACAAGCTGACACCCAAGTGTTCCTTTCCATGGAATGAGATCCGCAACATATCCTACAGCGACAAGGAGGTGGGAGAGTCTACTGGTCAAACTCCATACTGAGAGCAATTACTAACCAAAACTGTTTCATAAAAAGAGAGCTAATCAAATTTTGTGCAATAAAAAAAATGGCATTTTTTCTTTCCTCAACAATCAGTTTACCATCAAACCTCTGGACAAGAAAACCAACGTCTTCAAGTTTAACTCTTCCCGACTAAGAGTCAACAAGCTGGTAAGCTCAGCAGAAGTAAACTGCTATGAAAGATAATGTCGCTGATGTGATTTGAACTAATGTATGCTTTGGATCCCACCTTTTAGATCCTGCAGCTGTGCATAGGGAACCATGACCTGTTTATGCGCCGACGGCGAGTGGACTCTCTTGAAGTCCAGCAGATGAAGGCCCAGGCTAGAGAAGAGAGGGCCAGAAAGCAGGTAGTGAAAACCGGGCGATACTGAGGTGGTTGGATTTTACTAACCTATCACTGTTATCCACAGACGCCCCTTTACGCCACAGCTGTTTCATTACCTCTATTACCTAGTATCCTGTGCGGTAGGTTTGAAACTTTTAAAAACTGCTCCAGGACAAAGAAACCTCCGACCCATCTAAAGATGTGAGTCTCATCACACATGCAAAGGCGAGGATGAAGTAGTTCATTTACAGTAGCGCAAATGGACTATAAAGACACCCAGAGAAGAAATGATGTATCTTCTATTTATGATTTATGGACTAAAATTTTATGTGAAAACATGCTTAGCTTATGCAGTACATCTGCAGCAGATCACAGCTTCTGTTGATGGTGCCCAAAAGCACTAGCTGTAACTCTGTGACATTGCTCTGTTGGTTTGATTGCACATTTCTTACACATTTAAAGTCCCTGAGACTCAGGAAAACAAGTCAACAAAGCAAGAGTAAAGTTAGGCAATCTCTGGTTCTGTTTATGCTAAAATATGAGCATTCCCACATGTTTTTATGCCATTCTTTTAAACGCCGTTAGCCTCAGGCTGGGGATCTTTTAAAATCCACAGATACTGTAATAAAGGAAAATGTCATTATTTTCTTACTTTTTATTTGCTGTTCAATAATTATAATAGTTTAGTATATAAATATTAAATTACCTGTTTATAACACTATTTATATTCCTACTGAACAAATTTGGATTAAACATGGCAGTTCTTAGGTTTATATTTGCACCTTTATTGATCACTGGACCAATTTTGCGATACATTGTAGGTTGGTATAATGACAATAAAGATCTATTTCATTTTATCATGTTGTTTTCAAACTATCTTTAAGATAGTTTTAGATTTAGATTATTATTTAGCTTGATCCTTACATTAATTAGCCTATACTGCTGCTGCTGCTGCTGCAGGATTTCTTTGTTGATTATTTTTAGTATTTAGAATATGTGCATGTTTTCATATTTTGCATTTTAAGCTATGCAATGCCTGACTGTAGCTAATTTGTATTTTTTATTCACAGCATATTTTTGCAACCTTGTGATCAAAGTCAAAGGCCTATTGTTTTTATCCATTATTCTTTGGTTCTCTTTATTGTATTTGTTTCTTTTAAATGTTACATAAGAGCATTTCTTAATGGTTCTCCGCTGTTTGTGTCATGCAGGTAGAGCGACAGCGTTTGCAGAGGGAGAAGCAGCTGCGAGAAGAGGCAGAGAGAGTCAGGGACGAGCTGGAGAGGAGGCTCATTCAGCTGCAGGACGAGGCTCACATGGCCAATGAAGCACTTGTAGGTTACAAATGTTGTTTTTACGATCAGGTTCTTGCCATTTTGTTTGTAATGACACATAAAAGAATGTTTCAGAGCAGGAGAAGTTAACAAACTGAATTCTAAAACAGCTGTTGCTTATAGTTTATCGTCTCCTATTGTGTTGCCTCCTTCTGGAATAGTTTCATGAATTCTCTGAAAATCAGCTCAGTCTCCTCATTATTTACTCCAATCCTCTCCTCAACAACCTCCTTCATCTGTCGTAGTTGGATTTACTTGTCTATTTTCTTTGTCAGTTTTGACTTTCTTCTTCACGTCCTCTTGCTAATGTGAGCTCTATTTTCCCCACATCCTTCTCCACTCCAGCTGCGCTCAGAACAGACGGCAGACCTGCTGGCTGAAAAGGCCCAGATCGCTGAGGAGGAGGCCAAGCTGTTGGCCCAGAAAGCTGCCGAGGCTGAGACAGAGATGCAGCGCATCAAAGTGACCGCCATGCGTGGCCAGGAGGAGCGGCGCATTATGGAACAGAAGATGCTGGAGGCTGAGATGCGAGCGCTCAAGATGGCTGAGGAGTCAGAAAGGAGGTGAGGAGAGAACAAAGGAATGGGTGGTGGAAAATAAAGTGTGTGATCTCTTCTCAAACCACTATAGAGTATAGATTTTTAGAAGTGGCACATTTTCTGTCTTTCTTATTGCTTGAATCACTATTTATAATGAAGTCATGTAATTTCTATTTCTCATAAACGCAAAAACATAAATCTTTAAATAACTGATTCCCTATTTGTGTTACATTTGTTGTCTTATGTTAAGTATATGAACCCTTCAAATAATTAAGCTTTAAAAGGTACTTCAAAAATAACCCACAGCTCTTGTTCCCTCTGATTTTGTGGAGCACAAACAAACTTCATGCTTATTCACTTATTTAATTATTTGGAAATACAGCTGGTTAAACATTTTTACAACACCCAGGGCTAAAACAAGGGGTGAAACCTTTTATTCATTAGGGGCTCTTAATTCGATTCGAGGCATTTTAATTGCTGGCTGTCCAAAAGATTAAAGCTGGAGGATTCTTAGAAATTATCTCTTTTTACTTTTGATTTTCTCCAAAGTATGTCCCTCTGCAAAAGATGAGATTGGTAATAAAGCAGAACATCCATTCTTGACTTGGAAAAATGAGATTTTCAGTCACTTCTCCATAAACCACAAAAAAAAAAAAAGACAATCATTTCAATTTCATAGCATAGCAGTACACATGCTATCACTGATATCACTTCACAGGTTCTACTTCACGGTTTATTAGGCAATCATTTTAAAAAGGCACCATTAACCACTTGGGTGTAACTGCAATTTCTGGATGAGCACTTTACTGCAGCAGGGAAATTTAAACCAGCACCACTCAACATGTAAATGACTACATCCACTCAAACGCTAGAGGCACATAGCTCACCCACATCTTCTGAATGTTCAGGAAAATGAGCAAAAAGGGGAGAAAACATAATTACTGGGTAGAGAAAACACTACTACATCTCTGCTTGCACACTAATTGGTAAAAAGGAGGTTTACAATAATTGCAGTTGTGTTTTTCACCGATCACCTATGAATCACAGTGTGTAATTATTGAAGATTGTATAGATTCACTTTATATCATATATTTTACTAAGTCTATAAGGTAAATTAATGGGTTCTGTTTTCTGTCTGCTTTTTTTTTTTTCAGAGCAAAAGAGGCGGATCAGCTGAAGCAGGACCTGCAGGAAGCAAGGGATTCAGAGCGCAGGGCAAAGAACAAGCTGCTGGAGATTACCAGCAAGGCTATCTACACGGTAATAGAATGGGGGCATGTCAGACTTCCCTGTACAGACATGTGCCACATATAAGTATGTAGAGTCTAAGTAATGTGTCACTATCACACAAAAAGGTTTAAAAATGTCCCTATGCTGTGTAACATAAACACTGCAAGTGGCAACAAGGTGTTTCACACCTGACTTCTTTTGGTACTAAATGACACCATTTTTTCAGAGACTTACTGATAGTATATCAGTTGGCATCTAAGTAATGTTTTGGAGTCATGGTAACTCTCATGTATTTTACTTGTTTTCTGCTGTAAGAAAATGTTACATAATTCCAATATTTCATATCCACAATCTGGAGATCCCTAAGAGTCTTACATTTCATCATGGGAGATATTAATATTTTAAGGGTTAAATGTCCCAAATTTTTATCAGAACCAAATTTAAATACACTTGAGACTTTTAATGTTCATTTACACGGCTCCTTTAAGTACTCATTGTGTCATAGTTTAATTACAACATTACAAAAATGCTTTGTTTTTAAGGTAAAGAATAGAAGATGGAATGGACAAGATAGCAAAGTGTGGGAAGACAATGGGATGCAAAAGGCTAACTGGTTTGCTTAAACACCTGACAATGAAATAATTAGGATAAATACTCTAAATCGTCAAGAAATTAAAATTCCTAAATATCTGCTCATTTAGCTTCTTATGCTACATATACTAGTTTACCCTTTGTTCTGTTTAAAATATGAAGCAAACGTTGAAAAACAGGCGACATAAAGTACATTAAGACAAAAATCAACCTCTAGGCTCTGAAAGTTGAGCCATTGTTTAACAAATATTAAGGCTTTGAAATGATTGTCTTGGTTCTGACTACAACAACACTTAAAAGTGCAACTAAACTCCTGCAGATAGCTCGATCCAAAGGGGTCAGCAAAGCAGTTGTTGTAGATGTAGGCAGGAGCGATCTTATGCAGCAGTCAGTCTCACATCAGACTTGGAGAAGTCTGAGACTGAAAACACTGATTGTTGCATACCTGTTTTCTCAAGTTTATGCTCCTTTTATGAAGGATTTTTCTTTTTTTTTTTTAAATCCCCAGAGGTTCTAGAGGAGTTCCTACAGGAGAACTAGTCTTCTCTATTGTTTAGCTTCTTTAAGTCATTTGCTCTGTTGCGCTGTTACTCCACCAGATGATGGTAAAAGAAATCTATCCCCAACAGACTTATTGAAAGATATACAGTAATGTTTTTACGGCTTATTTGTATTTTTTTTTACATTTTCATGTAAGCGTGTTCAGTTCTACAGTATTTCTCCTAAAACCGTTTAGTGTTGTTGAACAGTGGCGATAACTGCTGATTTTTCTTTTCAGTCTAAATGGGAGTCATCATAGCCCCGTGTTCGGGTATGGATACAACTCACTCAGAGCCTTGCCTCCATAGTTGAAGCATTCTGTCCAGCCGCTTCAGCGTTGTAAAGGCTAAGCCTTCTTCTGTTCCTCTATTTTTACCCCCTCTATTACCAGGGGGTGTTTACTCTCCATTCTTTCGTATTTCTAAGCTAAGTTAGATGTCACTTCCTGACCACACCTGTGCTTCCCTAATGCTCACCTCCTGCTACTTAAAGGGATAGTTCGGGATTTTTGACATGAATCTGTATGGCATCCCCATCACCAGTGTCATGCAATCACACTGACTTACCCCTGGCAGCATCCTGTGAGCAGAGTTCTCGTCCAGCTTTGGTCAAGCCGAAAGTAGTCCGGCAGGTTTGCTAGACCCAGCGAAATAAAACGTTTCTCTTCCCAAAACATTATGTGTTCAAAAGAGCGATATTTTTGCATCCCAAAAACATTGTAGTGGAAAAAGTCACACGTCGTTATCACTTGGTCCTATTTTTTCTCTGTTCGTATCAGTGCGCGCAACACCATGACCTGACAGCTAGGGCCTACTAACCTGACAACAGCCTGATGCATGTCTCGCTCCGCCTAGCTCCTAGCTAGGCGGAGCGAGACATGTTTTCATATGGTTATGTTTTCATATGGGGCGAGTTACACTCTAAAGAAACGAAAAAACGTAACATAACACAGCAAGATGGGTTGTAGTTTTAATCCCAAGCTGTTTTCAGTAGGGAGTTCATGTTCTCAACTAATTGACAACCTGCAGTGTTTTTTTCTTTTTTTTCCCAACATACCGAACCCTACTTGTTGGTGCTTCTGAATCCGCTATAGGATTGAGCTGTTCTTTTTCCCTGTTGTCTGTCACTGTATTGACCCGTGTAATGTACTGGAAATCTTTACTGGCCTTCTCCCACCTTTCAACAAACGACATCATGACTACGCCCCAGCAGCCCTTCAACTCCGAGCAAAACTAATCAGGTTTGGAAATGGAATAAATGTCTGAGGCAAATGCAGACTGATGACTTTTTGTTAAAGCAGAGATATTGTTGTCATGCCTCTGCTTTTCACTATTTGGCTTCATGAAAGCATGCATGTTACAAGATAAACACACACTGACAGGGGCTGAGGTAACCCGTAAAAGCCAAACTAAACTGGTGATACTTGCATAAGACTAGGCTGCAGATAAGTCCGCCCACGCAAGAGCTCCCAACATGTTAACAACCCACATAACACAGTCATCTGCCTTTACATGTGCGCACACAGAAAAGATAGCAAAGGGATACAGATTCTGTTTACATTCTACATTACTATGTATTTTATTATGTAAGGAAAAGTTTGCACACATGATATTTCACATTTATATTTCTATAATGCTAGTGAACCACAACCGCAGTTGGACCATATCTGTCTGTATATATTTAGATTGAAGAATGCTGAGTGCATTGGTAGCAAATTTACACTTTAAGTCCATTTCTTATAGCTCGTCACACTATTGCGTATTACCCAAAGATCAACTGCATTAGATAAAAATAAAAATAAAAAATGCTCCTGTCTGGCCTTACTTTGCATTTAATGCTGTCAGACATATACATATATGTTTTGTTTTATTTTGTTCCATATTTCAGTCAGGCTGCAAGTTTTTTTTTTTTAACATATACAAACATTGGACATATTTGTGTAACATTGTTTACACATAATTTAAAGGACATCAATGTAAACTGCAGCAATTAACCAATATTATGAAACTTAAATTGAGTAACAGAAGATCCTTTACTTTGGAATATTCACTCACCGCCACTAAATCGGATACTTATCTTTTGTTTTTAAAAGCATTTGCCATCTGAACGTTCATAGGTCATATTTCTGACTTTTATGTCACTGCCAGGGCTCCCACAACAAATCCACTAATCTCCTTGCAAACAGCTGTCGTTAATGTGGTCATGATACCGTACACTGCCGTTACTCAGGAATTTGATGATAACACTGGGTCAACATTACACACCATTACATTTTCTCTGTGTTTTTCAACAAAGCTTTATTCAATATTCCTAGTGACAGTCACGTTCATCATGGCTAAAACAGTGTACCACTGTGTGACTTCTACATTCTTCCTCTGTGTTTGCTGATCACTTCAACTCAGGCTGCAGTCTGATAGCGACTGTGTTTAATTAGTAGTATTAAGACCAGGATAAAAAGATCGGATATGAGAAAAAAACTAGAATTGAGATTCAAGATGTGGGGGTGTGAATGAATCCTTGGAAAGGGAGTGCTTCCAAAATATGACGCATGTTTAAAAAATAAGGCTAGACATGGTGTGCTTCAGAATCCTCATTGTTTTCTGCAGGTTTGGACCAGTGTGACACATTTTGTAAGTCATCAGCATATGTGGCCAAATAGAAGGCAGCATAACAGCAGCTTTAATCAGTCCATTCCAGGATGTAATATAAAAATTCATTTCAGTTGTGTTTGTATTTCAGGGCATTTAAATTGATAATTTATGTGGTCTTCTTCCACTTTTAATTTTTTTTCTGGTGTTATTTTTTATCTTTCAGTTAATTTCCATCTTTTTTCACTTTCTTATTTATCAGAAGACCATCTTTGATTTCTTTTGTCTTTTAGTCACCTGGACTTCCATCTGACAGCGTCCCTCAAGACCTGAACTTCAGCAGAGAAAACCTCAGTTTTGATTTCAAAGACACCGACATGAAACGTTTGTCCATGGAGATTGAAAAGGAGAAGTGAGTTGCTCATCCATTGGGGAAGCTTAGTCGACCCCCTTTGGACTATTCAGCTCCGTGTTTGAATTTGATTGACTGCTTTGAAGGAAAGAAAAACTAACTAGTGAAAGGAAATCATTTTATCTAAATGTTTTCAAATGATATGAACAGGTACGGGGGTAAACCATGAGGAACTTTTTAGTTTTAAATATACAGTTTTTGATTATAGAGTTTAGTTGATGTTTAGCGTCACCTCTGTGTCTAATTATGGAGCCTACAATTAGTTCATATATCAAAATAAGCTTTACGGGGAAATAAAGCCGCATGCAAAATCATTTAGACAGCAATTAATCTGGTTGTGCTCATAGATAAGTTTGTTAGGTCATCTTTAAACACCTGGTTGGAAAATTTACAATTTTAGGGCATAGATTGCAAACAAATGAATGATTTCTAATAAAAAAAAAATTACTGATGTTACCTATATTCTTATTGAAAAGGGCCTTCATAATTTAGATGTTGTGGAATAATTATCATTCTATGCATGAAAATTCTGCAATTATTAACAATTATTTTGTAGATTTTTTGCAGAATTAAAATGTGAAATTAAAACTTTTCCACTTGAGGAGTTCTGGATAGAGCATATTGACAGAAGAAAAAGTTTTACCTTAAATGCTAACTGTTTATAGATTTTTTTCCAATATTTGTATAATTGTTGTAGAGTGCTCTGTCAATTAAAGGCACATTTTAGAGTGTCTATACTCTAGTTAGAATTGAATCATTGCTAAATGAGTTGACGATTATTTCAATAGCTGATTATTACGATTAATCTAATTAATTATTTCAGCTCTAACTTATAAAAAAAACAAAACATATTAATATCTACAATATGACTGCTTGAATAAAGTCTTTTTATCTTTAAGCTCAAGTTCATTCATACGGTTGGTGGATTCAGGGTTACTTTTATTAAACAAAGAGTTTTATTTCTAATAGAAAATAAGACTCCTAAGAGATAATATGTTTTTGTAAAAGGAGATACAAATTTCAAAGCTTTTCTTTTTAATTCTTATAAACATTTAATGAGATGCCCTATTTACTCCATCAGAAGAATCAGTAGAATTAATTAGATGCCATTCTATCAATCATACATTAATTGCAAACCAGCATTTTTTGTGTTTCTAAATTTCTATGACGAGCTCCATCTTTTAGGTTTGAAGGCCTTCTTGCAAAAACTCGGACCTTTAGGTGCCTCCATAGATTATTTACTAAAATTCAGATCATTACTTTGAGTGAGCCTATAAAGCTAAATTTCGATATAAATATAAATATATTTGGACATATGTAAGAACAGTTGTTTGCAGTATTGGCACTGAACAAACTACAGCTGTGATTAGAACACATGTTTTAATATATATTCCCCTTACTTGGTTATAACACATAAAGTAAAAAGTCATTATTTGAAATCAAGTGTCTTTCAATCATTCTGATTATTGTTGCTTTGTTTTACAGTTGATTTTTAAGATTTTGTGCTTTTTTTTTTCTTTTTTTTTCAGAGTTGAGTATATGGAGAAAAGCAAACACTTGCAAGAGCAGCTGAATGAGTTGAAGACAGAAATTGAGAGTCTAAAGCTGAAAGAGAGAGAGACTCCTCTGGACATCATCCACAACCAGAACACAGAGCAGGGAACCAGCAAGCACAGCAACTTTAAAAAGGTCAGTCATTACTAGCAGTAACTACAACATGTACCAGGATATTTATGACCATTATATTTAACACACTTGAACACTGGAATGTTAGACAAATATGAGATATTGCAGCCAAACGAGTATTTTTCATAGCATTTGTCTGAAGTTTCAGATATTGTTAATAAAATATATACTTAAAGATATTTGTTAGGGCCAAAAACACGTTTCTGAGGAGGTCTATTTGGGTTTTTACCACTCAGAAACCACATGTCTCTGGCAGGATTTGATAGAAAAGCTGAAATTTATCATGGTTGAAATGTTAATTTGCTTTCATTCGTAAAAATAAAAACGGCTTCTACATTCAAGTTGACAGCAGTTTGTCTGTTTAGGTAGTTACATCTTCTCCCATGCCTGCTTGTCACTGTCAGATCGAGCTCAAAGTAGGGGCTTTTGAGTAAGAACAGCACAATACATCTTCATCACAATATCAGCTTTGCAGAAGTAGTATTAATACGCTTTGTATGTCAACAATTTATTTTCAAAATCCCAAATTTTAGTTATACAAATTAGTTTTTATTTATCAGTTAACTGTATAAGCAGGCATATATGCTAGCTAAATGGATTTAGAAAAGTATACATTCATTGTTAGAATAACTGTTGCAACATAACAATTCAATACTATAACAAATATTCGTCATACCATTTATGGAACGATATCTATTAGCCAATTGAAAAACCTAGATTTTATTTATTTTCCTATACATTGTGTTATAAAAAAAATTTGAGTCAGTTTGTAACAGATGAGCACAAAGAAAATCCTGCTGTTGAGTCATCTGCAACCATTTTTTTTGTAATATCTATTTAATAAAGTCATAGGTTTGCTGTTGTTGGATTTGCAGAGAGCTCGATTTGGCATTGAATTATGTGCCCATTTAAGCTATCTGTGAACATTTCTAATGCATTGGAAATTGCTTATTTTTTCATTTGTATTTTGCATTGATTAAATTAAGCCAATTTTTTTAGCCACCAACATCATGCATCCCTTTGCAGAAATGAATCCCAGTTTTAGAATAGGAAATACCAACTCTGAAAATGCTCTGCTAGTAAAGCAAAATTTATTGAGGTGTTAAAAAAATGTCAACAAGAGGATTTTATGTTATATTTTCTTTGTTGTTTTTTTCCTGTTCTTCTCTCCCTTTTCACTTTTCACCTAACCTCTCTCGCTTTCTTGTTTTCTTCTTTTCCTTTTCATGGCAGTTCTCGCATCGGTTGCATTTGAAATATTCCCGAAATAACTTAAAAAAAGTGGAGCTATATAGAGAAAGCAGATAAAGCACATCTGTTAAGCTTCTCTTTGGCACAAAGAAACTGATTAAAAGTGCAAGACTGGCAGATGAGACACATTTAAAAACAATAACAGAAAATGTTGCCAAGTTTCGAAAACAGGACTTATTCTTTGTTAAACTAATTTTATTAAGTGAAAGCTGTGATTTTTCTTCTGTATTTACTCAAACACGCATGTTTGAACATGTAAATCTCTCACTGATCAGCTCATGAGCAGGAAATAATAATATTGACAAACAAATGCAGCATACATCTACAGTACAGAGGAAGTACTGGTTTGTGATATAGCGATGCTTAAAATGTCCAACAAACAGATTTTTGAACCTAAATAACTGTGCAAAACTTTGTGAATAATAACTAGAAGAGTTTAATGATGACATCTGTTGCTAATGCTTGGTTTATTATGCCAGCTAAATAACCTGATAGATTTCGAACCATCTCATCAATAGTCAAGTCTTGTGCAACAGTCCAGAATATCAAAGCAGGGAATCTATTCGCCGACCATCATCTCATAACGTTCTTAATTTGGTTCCCTGTTCATTCCTCAGGCTGCTCAGTGATTGGTAGACATTTGTTATCTTAAAATCTGAACTCTAAGAGTTCTCAATGATTTCCAGTAGGAACTATAATCAAATGAAAACCTTTAGAGAGCTGAGGTGAGAGGTGGTGCTTAATTTTCTAATTGTTTCCATTCTTTTTTTGAACCCCCTTTATCTCCCTCTCTAACACCAGTCTAATTTGGATAAAGCATTCTTACTGAATACTTGAGTTATGTTCCCAGCAAACAGTGTAGTAGATCACATTCTCTGCTTTGTTTCTGGGTGTTAAATATACTTGTTAACAGAGTGCTAATTGATTTCAACTTGGTCTTTAGTCATCTGGATTGATAGGGGGACCTCTGACACAAAGGAGGAGAAAAAGCTAAGTGAAGTGCTACTTTAATAGAACCAGTTTCGGTCAGCATCCATCTTGTTTGAGATGGCAGGGGCACGCTCCACCATGGTGACAAACAAGGAGAAGGAAAATAGAGGGGGAAAAAAGCTATGGATCAATCCAAAGGGTTTTGTTGACATCTATCTCCTCCGTCCACCAACAGAACATCCCAATGATTGGGGACTCTCTTTTACTGCGCTAATGTACAGATGTTTCAACAAAGACAGATGTTTAGGGGGATAGGGAAATCCATATGATCATTAAACACAGATTTGGCTTATAAAACACCTGCTATGCGGCTCTGGTTGTTGTTGCTTTTATTGAGATATCCCAAACAATAGCCTATAAATGGAAACATCCAATCCACAGTGAGAACTACACAATCATTTTAAAAGACCTCTTTGTGAACAGGTAATGCAGTCCAGCTGCTTACTTTCCACACTCTGATTTATAATCTACTCCGTTGTCCTTTCAAACAGTAGGGGTCATTTGGCTGAATTTGAAGAAGCTGATATATTCTTATACCTGCAGCTTAATTTCTTTTTCTTCACTTCTTTCTTAAATAGTTTTGACTGGAAGACTGGTTTGCAATTTTTAATTTCAAAAAAGTCTTTATTTTGGCCATGCAGGAAGCTCTGCAAAAGATCTGCAGTGGTTTGTTTCTGGCTGCGGTTTCCACAGAAGCTCTCCATGTCTAAACACCTAGAACATGCCATGACTGACCCTAATGAACGATAGAAAAATATCAGCCTCAATTTAGTCATAGCTAGGAAAGTTTACGTATATTACATATTTAAATGGCAAGGAAATTTAAAGTGATGTACGAACATATGGAGAAAAAAAAAGACAAATAAATTACATTGCAGTGGCATAGAGTATAAAGAGATAAAAAGTGATTCATTGAAATAAAATTATCATATGTAAAATAAAATATATTTTTCCAAACAAAGTTGAAAAGTTAAAAAAAACAAACCACTGGACTTTGTTTTCCAACTTTGAAGACGTTCTCATCCAGGAAGCGTTTTCGATTCCAAATTTCTGCATTGGCTTGAAGCTCCAAACTTTACAGAGTAGCTCAACAAAGCCTTGTTATTGCTTAGAAAACAAGAAATTGAACCGAAGGAACAGGTCCAACCCTTAGTAATGGGGAGTCATTGAGACTTTGTTAGCTTGCAATACCCGATACTGGCATATGCCTCTGAAAAGGGAGAATCTTCACTAGCAATAAAATATATACATTAAAAAAATTAGAATTTTACCCTGTTATGAGCTTAATCCAAATTAGATCTTTTTGGGTGTATGAAGTAGCATATGGTCAGAGGGGGAAGAAAAAAGCTTGAACAGTAAAGAACACCTTGCCTTCAGTGAAGCATGGAGGTGTCTCAGTAATGCTGTGGGGCTGCTTTGGTTCCTCTGGAAGCATCTTGGATGTAGAGCACCAGAGTCGGTTAGTTGTCTTTAAAATCATAAGAGAAAATGTCATTTTGGAAGAAGCTAAAGCTTTAAATGTCATTAAACACCAGGAACACAACAGCAAAGATAATGTGAAACGGAACAAACTGTTTTAGGGGAAAGAATCAGAACCAGCAGTAACCCTAGGTAAGCTTTTTCTGTGTCCACACTGCTTCTCCCTTCAAGATGATTAATGAACGTTCCCTTAATACGGATCAGTGCTCCTATTCCTTTCTCCTGGTCACGGTTTCTGCTCTGCCTGTGCTGGACTCTTTTAAAAAGCTCATTTACAACAACCACACTTCAAAGGGAAGCCTCAAGAGAGAAAACACTTTTTTTTCTTCTTTTTTTTTGCATAATCTGTAAAATCACAAAGTGCCAAACCACATGTGGTAAATGGCAGATGCAGTAAGTCTTTTTTATTTTCAAAGAATACAAACTTGCAATCAGTCATTCACAGATTATATTTGTAGACACCAAATAGAGAAATTAATCTGTGTGCAGCTATGTTTGATTATTAAACAAATGTGAGGTCAAGGATTTACATTTTCTAGTAATATTCAGTCTGGCTCTCTGCAGGAACAATCTATTTTTTTAGATTTTGCTCAGTGAATCCAACCGCTTACTTTCTTCTTTATCCAACTGGATTTGCTTATAACCCCCATCGACATTTCCCTGAAATAACCCAGATTTCCCAAACTGTCCTCCTCCATCCCCAGTAGTCTAATAAAAACCTTGGCCAACACTTAAATCCTGTTAGCAAACATCTTTTTCCAGGGCGGAAACCGACTCTCTCTACTCTCTGTTGCCTAAGATGAGTCAGCATTTATCTGCTGCAAATGGTTGAATTGAATTGATGAAAACATCTGTTCAACCAAGGCAGAGTAGAAATCAAACTTAGTTTAGGTTTTTGTTTTTTGTTTTGCCCTAAAATTCAAAGAGAGGAAAAAGTGGAAATTCATGCCACGCTATACAGTTAAATGTATTTATTTGTTTTAAGTTTAGAAAAGTTAAATATGTATACATTGTGTTTTATAGCATAACAATAATTCCTGACTTAGCTGGACCAATATCTGATGCTGGTGCATTAGTGTCTGTGATGTTTAATGTGTGCCTCAGCAAGCCATGAACATCACTGTCTGTGTAATGAACCTCAGCTTCAACAAGTCTTATTTTTACCCTTTATAATTATGTCAGCCGTGAGAGAGAGACTGCCTCAGATATTCCCTGACAATTACAGTGGAGAGCTGAGCAGGGCAGCTGAAGCATCCGTCTCCAGAAATGATAACATTCATAGCAAAGTGCAAATTTTTCTAAAGCAGGACGAGTTTAGCCTGCAGAGAATGACCTAAAACAGCATTACTGTGTTTGTTTGGCACTTCAGCAAACTGCTCCCAGTAAAACAATCTCAACAGTTTGCAAATTAATTTATATACCAGTTTTTTTTTTGTCATGAATGGACAATGGATGCAAATAAAAAAAGAACAATAGGTACCAAACAATGCAGGTTTTCATCAAAATCCAGTGTTAAAAAAAGAGAAAAAAACAAGCTTAAAAATCAAACCAGAAAAGCATCAACCTTGTTTTCCTGCACAGTGAACTCAAGTCACCAGATGTCATATTATCAGATCATATGGACACATTGTTAATGGGAAAATGCATTGTATTAAAGGAGAGCTGATAAAATTAGACCCTGAGGGGGTTTGATTGTATGTCGCAAAACTATTCTGGCATGCAACCTTCTTTCACCGATTCTATTTCATTTTCAACCAATCACAGAGACTTTGGGAAATACAGCGTCCCTGAAGCAAGCGGTTCTGCTTTACCCGTTTGTCTCATATTATGACTTTGATGGTTCATGGACACTAATGAAAGGATGTAACGAGTACTGACAAGTATAATTATCAGACCTTAAACTGATGGCCATGTTCCATTTTGATGTTTTTTAATCGATTCCCTTGCATTTTCACCTCTCACGTCTTCTTCTGCTGTTTTGCTTCAGTTATTTTACATGCAGTCATACAGTGGTAATGCAAGTATACTTTTAACATTCTACTATGTGCATTTTGTAGAACAGAAAAAAAGTTCATCATGTTGTCATTTACATGACTTGAATTATGTGTACATTTTTAGTCACGCTGGGGCTAACTGGGTTAAATTGTCTCTGTCTCCCTGATGATTGTTGCTGGCCATCATTACATATGACTGTTTAACAGCATGATATAGAGTTGGTACATTTTTGTATTTTTGGGTTAAATTAAGGGATTTAAAAAAAACTTCTGATAATTGGATAAATCCACTTTTTTTGGTTGTTGTACTCACTTTTTTACTTTAGTAATTAACGATTATGTTCCATAAAATAGGTAAAAAAAAATTAACCCTACAATTCCTGAAAGAGCAGCAAAACATAAAGAATAACAGGCTTTAATATGACATGTTAGAAGGTTAAGCTATGCTTAAGAAATGAATTTACTTTAGGGCTTTTAAACTTAAGTAGTGTAAAAGCAATTCAAATTTGAAGTTTACAGGAAAAATGTTTGTAATTTGATTTAGAGACTTACAAGATGCTTTAGAGCAAAAGCAAAGGAGTAACAGGAAAAAAAGTACAGAATAAGATAAACATAATAGGTTGTACGTTGCATGCGCAGGTTGTGCTTTACAAATATTTTATACCCTGCTCTTCATTATAATTTATCTGAGAGCAGAATGGGGCCGATGACTTTTAATGCTCTTTGACAAAACCCCTAAAGTCTAGCCTTCTCCTGACAGCAGTACCGCCATGGGCTCTGCAGTCTGTAATTAAATTTCTAATGGGATGACCTTAAAGATCCTTCAAGTTTGGTTCTTCTACTTTTTTTCTGAAGTGATGAACCTTTTTACATTCTTTCTTTAATGTTTCGGAAGAACATTTGACGTAAGCACCATATCCAGGGTGTGAAATAAAGGAAAAAAACGCAGCGTTTGATCCTTGAATCGTCACAGTTTGAGAAATGTGAATAGTGGAACACTTCCAAACCCTGACACCACTGCAGACTGCCATGACGCAGCCCATGAAAAGAAGCGCTGCCAGGATGCCACAGCTTCCTGCCTTATGCACACTCCAAAGGGCCTGTTGACAGCTGGAACATTATGAAAACCAGGTTTAAGTAATAATTTTATATCCTTGAGGGTTTATTTACCATTCAGTTGCAGTTTTTTTATGCTTCTCTGTGGACTGCGTCACATTGCATTTACTGGGAGTAAAGGCTTTGAAAAAGTATTTATATCCCCTGAACTTTTTCCAATTTTGCTACATTACCCCCTCAAACTTTGCTTAGTTTTATTTGGACATTACATGTATATGATGGATAATTACATAGTGGTGCCAAACGCTTAAAAAAATACAGGGTTTTAAATTTTGTTTTGCAGAGTATGTTGCATAGAACCCAGAGCCAGTGTGTTAAAACTTTTTCAACTACAATATCAGCCGCCAGTTTTTGGGGTGTGTCTCTGGGAGATTTTCACACACTTTGAAAGAAGAACAGCAGGAGCAGTGCAAACATAAAGGCCAGAACACATTGAATCTGATTTTGAATCCGATCTGTTCCAATCTGATTTTACGCAAGGCGGCTTGCGTAGCTGCGACTGAGATAGACCCCTGGTCTATTTTAGTTTGACTACGCAGCAATTCGGCGGCAATTTCATGGATGTGACAGGAAGAGAGATGCAGTTACAAAGTAAAACACATCAGCTTTGGGGGGAAATGCACAATAAAATTGCACTGGGAAATAGTACGTTTTGGAGTCGCGTAGAGCATGTATAGTAAGCAGGACAGACTTGTGCAAAAACAAAAAAGAATACTTTAGATATAGATCACATTATGTTTCTAAGAATTCCTGATTCCTGCCCCTTTTCTGGACAGGTTTTGATAGGAGCTGTCCCAGATTTGTTTACAAATAAATCAAGAGTTTTACACATCATCAGTCTGGCTCACCTGTTTACAAATCTTGAGCTCTTGTCGATCTTTCCATCAGCCTATATATCAGCTTCCATAATGTGTTCAGGGCTAAACCATGTTAGGAAAATATGATGCCAATACTGTTAGAGATAGATGCACTTTTTACTCTAATCTCTTTCTCGTCCATCAATAGAAGGTTTCCAGCGTTTTGTCTGAGCTTTAGCATATTGGGCATCAAATTCCATCATATCCATCAACATGCAAAGCACTGATTCATGGCAGCTGGAGTGCATAGACTAAAGATCCTTAGTAGGATGTTAAAAGTATATTCCTGTTTCCAAAGACTGATAATTGCAATGAATTAATTCTGGGCTGTGTCTTACTTTTAAGTTTTGTATTTGCAAAAGTAAGTAACTGTATGCTTTTCTCTGTATGTTTACAGTTATGCAGTACTTTCTGTTAATGTGTAGAGTATAACACTCTGAGGAGTGTGTTTTTACAGTTACTGAGTATGGAAACTTCTGTGTGTTACTTCTTCTCCAGGCACAATGTGATTTCAGTTATTGCTCATTCATTCAAATGGCATGCATTATTTTTATCTCACTTTCCTAAACCATCCTATGGCTTTTTTTGTCGTTCACAGCTCACACTACAAAGCACCAAGTCAAGGGTGGCCTTTTTTGAAGAACTTTAAACTCTGTAACAAGGAGGACCTTCTCTGTTCTACATTCCTGACTGGACTACAAACCTCTTACTGTCTGAAAGAAAACAGCCAGCGAGCAGATTCCCACTGCGTTAAACTCATCAAGTTTAATGGGAAAATATCTAAAGAAGAAGTAAACTGACTTTGATGGACTTTTATAGAGGAGTTTTTGAAACATTTTCTTTGGAATTACTTTAAGTCAAATAATAGTTTGTCTCAGCTAAAGGAGAAGCCATATTGCTCCTTTTCCACTGTGAGTCTAATGAGATTGTATTTTGGAGTTTGGAATCGTTCATGTATAATGTCCAGTTGAAGTGACCTACATTATGAATGATGAGCTATTTAGTACAGCAGGGGAAATAAACCACTAACTTCATCTAAACCAACAGCTTTATATCCAGATCTACTAATCCATGTGGAGCGTTCTCACCGCGCCTCTGCTCTAACACTACAGAGTGGAAATATTATGTCCTGTTAGAATTTGTCTTCATTTAAAGTGAATATTTCAGCCTTAAAGCTACAGTGTGTAATTTTTAGCGACATCTAACGTTCAGACTGCAGACCGCAGCAACATGAACATCTCCCCCCCACCGCTTCCCCCCCCCCAACAGTACGGCGAGCGTTACGGGACAAAATGTCTTCCACGACGTCTGCATCACCTACCTTCTCAAGTGATGAGGTTTGTTTACATAGATAATTTTAATACTGCCATCTATTGTTCAGTACCGTCTCAGTTCATCTCTCTCAACTTGCCGTAGTTACTTTCGAGCGTAATGGGCGATCTCGCAATCGCTAGTTTGTTGGCTCTGCGCTGCCGTAGCGCAAAGATGTCTGCCTCCATGGCTGCGAGACCCACTCCTATGTAATTATAAATAACGAATTCTAAGGCAACGCACATATTAAGGTTAAGAGGCTGAGCTCGTAGATGATGATAAATAACATAGTTATGTATAATATATTACATTTCTGACTGTATATCCCTGTAATTATTACACACTGTAGCTTTAAGTTCAGGTCATTTCTCTGCCACATTAAATGGAAAGAGCCATTTATTAAATCGGTGGAGTTTATGATCCGTGGAGAATATTAAGCATGTACTAAACACTGAAATTCCTGCCTCCCTATGTGGGGTGAATGCAGATGACCTGTTACCTGTGAGGCCTTATTAACTATGTTTACATTGTGAATGAATTTTTGATAGATCAGGGAGTCTCTTCCCAAATAAATGAATCTGAGACCCTAACTACTGGATGGTTGTCTGAATATAAAATGTCTTTTTGTTTTTTTTGTGCAAATTTTGTTTGTAGAAAGAAAACCACTTTAATTAGCATATATTTTGAGTTAATGTGAATTTTTGAATAATTGCTCTTTCCTTTTGTAAGGCAAATATCTTGGGAAATATAAACCAAATGTGAAAAACATGAATTTTCTTACAGCTGCTTTTAAAAGGGATGATGAGCAGTATTGAAATGAAACCTATTTCACCTAATATGCATTTTTACTGAAAACCTATCAGATGTGTATGTTATCCATGTAAAATAAATAAACACATTTACTTTTGAGTTGATTTTTTATTCCTTTGAATACAATAGATCTTTGTGTTATTTTTATCCTATTCTGAATATCAGCCTTAAATTGCTGCTGCCTCTTCCTCCCATCCCAAGCAGACGCCCAAATACACCTATGAAATGAATCCAAAGTTACATAAGCTGCCTCCATCTTGTGTCGAATCACGTACCCTCTGCCTGAGTGACAAGGTTTTTGTGTTTATGCGGATGTGTGGGCGAACGGAGTATGTGGTGCACCCCCTGCATTGTGTCAGCATCTGTTGTGTTTCACAGCAGAATGCAAGTTCCGACTTGCAGCTTTAGGTGCCCTCAGACAGGCAGTGACTGAACATTTAAGGGGCTCCTCTGCTCCATGTCACCTTTGGCTTGAGCTGGAGAATGGCTGCTCCTCCCTGGGGTGTCAGATTTGTGACAGATTGGCATCTACAGGGACAGGTAGAACTCAGACTGCCCCTCCGTACTGTTCTGAGCGAGATGGAAAAGGGAAGGTGATATGGGGTATAGGGAAAAAAAAAAAAAGATCCCATCTTTGTCATTCATCCTCTCCAGGGATCATGGTTGACATCACACCTCCGTGCTGCGGTGAACACACCCACACACATATCCTGCAGAATAACCATCATTGTCAATTGGTTAAAATCTTTAAAAGGTTTGACCACAGAAACAAACACAAAGAACTGCTTAATAATGCAGCATCCAGATGTCAGTATTTTCCTTATTTAACTAAAAAAAAAACCACTGGTTTTCAAGTTTTAAATAAAAACGGTTTATAAAACAATTTCTACGTGTGATACAACCCTTTGATAAATTACGATTTATCATGAAAGTGTAAATCTTTTATTAAGTCTGACATATGTTCTTTCAAGATATTCATATGTTAAAAATGTGTAATGCCTTTATGTTAGAAATGGCATAAATTACTATGTTAACTGAAACTATATGCTCTGATAAAGAGGATCTGTTTATGAGTTCTACAACAGAGAAGCCATGAAACAAAATGTTCTGATTTCTGAAACTTTATTGGATCCATCGCTCTTACAACACCCCTGCTTCTCCCGATTAAGAAATAAAAGCTCCACAAATTTGGAAAATCCTTTTAATGATTCAAGCAATTTTTCGGTTCTACATTATCCCTTTTATTTCTAAAAATATAAATCAAGTAAGACAACAGGGCATTGCTCAAATATGATGGTCCCAACCGTGCAATGATGCTCCTAAATGCAGCAAAAATATAAAAAAGGCTTTCTTTAAACCAAAATAGGCTAATAAAGGAACAAAAACAGCTGTGTTAAGTGTTAATACTGACATGATAAGTGTTTTATGAACAGTGCCAGATGTGTAGCCGAAAAAAATATTCAGATAATAAAGCCCACGCAGCACCCAGCGACTGATGCTCCCTCACTGCAGGGACCTGAAGATCAAGAATGAGCTGTTATCTCCTCCTCCATAGTTCTGTGATCCTGCTAGTAGATTTATAACAATATGTTGACCCTCCTGCTGATCGCCCCTCAAAGCTTTCACTGACTCCTCCTATTAATGCTTTCATTACTCTAGTTATTCCTGTGGCTTTTGCTTGTTTTTCCTTCCGCTGATCTTTCCTTTAGAATGATTTATTATAACCCTTAGTGAAAAAGGAGCTTCTTAAGATCAAATTTTTGTTGTTTACCCTCCTTAGCAGAGGTGTCAAAAGTATTCATATTTATTACTCAAGTTATAACTATAAATCCAACTTTTTAAAAACACATTTGAGTCTCAAATTAAGCTTTTGACTCAAGAAAAAGTGTAAAAGAACAATTTTTGTAAAGTAAACTAATGCATGAAAAAATGTTAAGTAGAGATACTTTAAACCTTATACTGGTTACTGCATTACCTTATTAAAGGAACATTTTCTGGATGGTAATTTCCTTATACAAAATTCTTTAGTTTTATATCTAATGGAAACAGTGTCAAATTTAACATTGCATCATCTTGAAAAACTACTTATTTTAGTATGTGGCAAATAACAAGTTGGTGCAGCATCCAGTCCAACCACAAAGAAATTAAGTGTCTGCATTAAAACAAATAATTTTGATGGTTTTTGTTGTTATAAAATACAATTTGGACATCACGAATATTAGCTTAAATGAAACAAAACTAACAAGTCTATTTTGAAAATGTAAGGAGTAGAAATTAGAGATAATTGAAAAATGAAAGGAGTCGATGTAAAAAATAAATTCTAAAAAATATTTACCGTACTACAGTAAAGTATATATATAGCAAAAAATTCTACTTAAGCAAGGTAACAAAGTATTTGTACTTTGTTACTTGACACATCTGCTACTCAGTCACTGTCTGCTGAACAACTATTATTTCAGCAGTCTATGTCAGCAGTGTTAGCTTTAATATGGCCAGTATGCAAAATTCTATATGACCTTTGAGTTTAATAAATTATTCTGAATTTTGCACTTCAATAAGCTGGTAGATTTGGATTGAGATTTGTAGGAATATGAAAATGTTCAGAAAGGAGCACTTAACATATGCTAGTGATGTGGAAGGAAGGAAGGAAGGAAGGAAGGAAGGAAGGAAGGAAGGAAGGAAGGAAGGCTCTATAAACGATTGAAGAAGAAGGGCAATAGAATAAAATAAAAAAATAGTTGTGCCGTTTTCAGAAGATGCTGTGGCCACCCCATGAGGCCCCTGAGTGCCCTTTGGTGCCTGTGGGCACCACATTGGTGACTCTGATTTAGATTATATTTTTAGATTCGATTGAACTTATCAGGGCTTTCTAGTTAGTTATTTTTAAAAGATAATACTAATTACCAAACTAATACTTAATACGTTGTGCAAAAATATTCCCCTTTTCTCCATCCTGTAAACTTCCCAGCTTATCACTCTACAACTTTCCAGCTAAAACGTCTCATTTTTTATCCACTGTTTCCTCCCAGACATTTTTGAGCTCCATAAACTGAACCATTCATTATGAGTTTTATCTTCTCCAGCTATGGTGAAGTCTGCTATATCCTGGAGGGCTTATCGGCCGCTCCCTTAAATCTGCTCCTATGTGTTAATCTCTTCCCACCAGTACCTTCACTAAAGTAAGCCAGCCCAGAAATTCATTCATTTATTTATTGTTTGATATTCTCAATAAATACATCAGTATATCTCTAAATATATATGTTAGGTCAGGTTTTTATTTTATTCACTACATAGTTAAGAGAAGGCCTCAGTTATCTACAGGCTGCTTAGATATATAAAGGAAGACTTAACTGAGGATTTGTTGGGTTTGTTTCAGATTACAATCTTTTCTCAGAGGATATCTTGGCTGTCTTCACATTCACAGTCGATCCAAGGACAGTTTTGCTTGAGGAAGACTTTTCTTCTTTTCTTTGCTCTTCTATTTCCTACATGACCATCCAGGTTTCCCTGAATGCTTCCTGTTTTTGTCACCTTTCCTCTTTTTATCCTGTTCCTGACTTATGATGTACTTATGCTGCCTTTCCTAAATAATTTAAAAGTAGCTCATGAATCTTAATTATTTATTGCATAAAAATAAGCACTGTTTGCAGAAAGTTTTTAACAAAATAAAGAAGTTTTTGTTGACTTTTTAAAAGCTTTTAAACATGTAATGTTGAAATAAAAAGGTATAGTAAGAGCCTGAACTAGAAAAGTGGGTAAGATAATACCTTGATTTCACTCTGACCATACAGTACTGTACTTTCTGCCATGGAGAGTTCACATTGAGAAACATTTTTGTATTTCAGGATACACTATGTTTTAGTGTTGGAGAATGCCAGGAAGGTGGGAAAAATATTGGCTTATTTCATTTTAGTACTACATCCTGATATGTGGTGATTTTAAACAGGATTGAATTAAACAACATATCCAATGTTCACAATGGTAACAAGTGACTGAGTGTATGTATCCTTGGACTGATGACCTGAGTACCCCTCAACTCTCTCAATGAGATAAGTACCAGAAACCAGGAAATGTTATTAATTTGTCACCTACTGCTTTTTTTAGTATAGAGAGGCAAAGAGGTCTGATTACTTGCTAAATATTGAACCAAATTGGTAAGTTGGAGCCACTGATT